AGCTCAAAGGAGCACGCCAAGCCGGTCAAGGGCCGCGAGGACATCAAGGTGCGGTGCGTGGGGGGAGGGAGGAGGGGGGTTGGGCGGGGAGTCTTGGATGGGGGCCGGGGGATAACCCGTGGGGGGAAGGGTAAAGGTCGTTGGTTGGGGCAGGTTGGGACATTTGTTATTAGAGGTGTTCCTGGGTGTCTAGGGGGGGGTTAGGGTGGGGGTTGTCGGGGGTCGGTGGGGATGTGGGGCGAGGGGCTGGGTGGAGAGGGCGGGTCATGGAGCCCGTTCTCGCGACCTGAGTGCCGCCGGGTCCTGCGGGGGTTGTGAGGTGATGCGGAACGGAACAGAGCGGGGGGGGGCGCTTCAATGGAAGATTGCCTAGCCGGCGACTTGACTATCTCTATTCCCTTTTTTGTGATGCGTGCTGTGTTTTGTTGTCGTACACAGAACGTAGCCGCCATCTCTGCGGGTAACGAGGACTTCATTGGCGAGATGATTGCGGACGCGCTCGACAAGGTGAGGGGCACGTAGTGTATGTGTGTGGGGTGGGGGGAGGTTGGGGGTTTTGAGTTCAGGGTTTCTAGGTATACAGGGTATATGATATATCCAGGGGATGAGGGTGCCTGTGAATGAGCAAAAGGGAGGGGGAGAGGAGGGGCGGCGGGGTTGTGGTAAAATAGCTGTATGCCGCAATGCATTGCCACATACATACATATACCGCATGTAGCGCTAAAATTGCTGGTTGTACTGCTGTTGCCTCAACCGCAACCGCCCCAACTTACCCCCCCGTGGTGGTCCCCGCCCGCCCGCCTTTCCTTTTCCTGTGGGGCGGTGTGTTCGGGTGTCAGCAAATTATTTGCACGGTTGCTTTGCATCGACATCATTTTTTTAGTACCTTCCTCCTTTATTTGCCTCCGTGATCATCTTTGTCATCGTCATGTCGTACAGGTCGGATCCAACGGCGTGCTGTCCATCGAGACATCCAACTCCACCGAGACTGTGGTGGAGGTCCAGGAGGGCATGGAGATCGACCGGGGGTACATCTCTCCGCAGTTCGTCACCAACCAGGAGAGGCTGCTCGTGGAGTACGACAACTGCCGTGTGCTCGTCACGGACCAGAAGGTGGGTGAGACTGCGTCTGCGAGTCGGGATATTTTTTTTCTTTGTGTGTTTTCGGTGTCGTTGATGTCGGGTGGTCTGTACTTCTGGTTAGGGTTGACCCGGGGTTGTATGCTGTGTATGTATGTATGTGCGTAGGTATGTAGCGGAGTATGTCTACTGGGGGGATCGGGTTGGGTTTCGTGCCATGGGTGTTGCGGCCTCTGGCTGCCTTGTCTCTCTTCAACACCACTGAAACAGTTAAGACCTTTCAAGAAGGACCCAACCAACCGTATCCCCCATCAATAATAACTGATTTGTCGGTTTTTGGTTGGTCGGTTGGTGGTTGCAGATCGAGTCCATCCGCGACATCATCCCCATCCTGGAGCAGGTCACCCGCCTGAACCAGCCGCTACTCATTATTGCCGAGGACGTTGCGGGTGAGGGGAGGGGAGAGGGGAGGGGTGAGGGGAGGGGAGGGGAGGGGCAACAGGAGGACCACTTGATGGCGTCTTATCTAACGCTCGTGATCGCTTTACTTCTCGGGCCCCATATTTCTCGGGCAGCTCGTCCTCCCTTCTCCCCCTCCTCCCCCAAACAACTGGAAATTATTTTCTTCCGTTGGACTTCTGGCATATGATGTTCCCCAACCGCAGTGAACAAAACCGCTTTGATGATACATCCATTTTTGTTTTGTTTTTGTTCGGTCCACCTCTGAAGCCCCGTTTTGTGTTGGGGGCCCCGCGGACTCTGTCTTCCACTCCTAAGGGGAACTATTTCCCCCCTGTTCCCAAAACGCCCATTTGTACGACATGGTAATTGCGCCCTTTTGTCGTACAGGTGAGGCGCTCGCCACTCTGGTGGTCAACAAGCTCCGCGGTGTGCTCAACGTTGCGGCCATCAAGGCCCCTGGTTTCGGAGAGCGCCGTAAGGCCCTCCTGCAGGACATTGCCATTGTCACCGGAGCCGAGTTCATCGCCAAGGACCTGGGCATGAAGGTGGAGCAGGCGGTTGTCGAGCAGTTGGGGGTTGCCCGTAAGATTACGATTTCCAACAACTCCACGACGATGATTGCGGATGCCGCGAGTCGGGAGGAGATTGAGATGCGGATCGCGCAGCTGAAGAAGGAGCTGGCCGAGACGGACAGTGTGTACGACACTGAGAAGCTGTCGGAGCGCATTGCGAAGCTGTCGGGAGGTGTGGCGGTGATCAAGGTACGGTAGGCGCATGCGTGCGTGTACGTCTGTACGTGTGTATATGTGTGTGTGTTTGGAGAAGGGAAAAGGCTCCTGTGTAATTCCGGGGAGATGTTCACGTGACTGGGCGTTGACCATCATGAAGCAACCTGTGTGCTTCAATCCCCAAGCCCTTCGGCAGCTGTCGTACATTGTGTGTCGGCAGTGTACATGGTGACACCCCCGCATGGTTGCAATTGTTATCCCACCCATCCTTGAGACACACCCCTTGTGTCATGTATGTCTGTACGGATGTACGGATGTTTAGGTGGGTGCTGCCACGGAGGCGGAGCTGGAGGACCGCAAGTTGCGAATTGAGGACGCCAAGAACGCGACCTTCGCGGCGGTGGAGGAGGGCATCGTGCCGGGGGGCGGGGCGGCGCTGCTGCACCTGTGAGCATCGGGATGTGGTGTGGGGTTGGGGAGGGGGAGGGCGAGGGGGGGAGCCGGAAGGAATGTGTTTTTTGCTGCTGCTGCTGCTACGGTGGGGGGTATCGGCGTTTGTTAAGGCGGAGCTCCATGTTGTCAACCCTAAAACCCTAAAACCCTCCAGCTCCCCCCGACTTCAGGGGGGTGAGGCACCACCTACCACCGATCAACATGCAGCTGCGGGATCGCCAGGGGAGCACAGGTGGCGGCGGTGGCACCGGCGGCTGCGCGTGTGCTTTACCATTCCCCTTCTCCTCTCCCCCCCCTTCCCACACCCAGTTCCGAGCTGGTCCCCGCGTTCAAGGAGACTCTGACGGACCCGGAGGAGCGCCTGGGTGCCGATATCGTGATGAAGAGCCTGCGGGCGCCCTGCCGCCTCATTGCCGACAACGCGGGAGTGGAGGGGGAGGTCATTGTGCAGAGGCTGCTGGGGAAGCCGTTCGAGGTGAGGGGGAGCAGCTGTGTTGGGACGTGATGTATGTGGGGTATATATGATGTATACATGTGTGTGCATGTGTTTCTATGTGTTCTCCCCTTGCAAGGGCGGATCCAGCTCACCGGAGCCGAACCTCCTCCTCCTCTTCGTCCTGGCTATTAGGAGGTTGTACCGCACCTCACTCCTCACCTCACCTCACCTCACTGGGTGATGTTTGGGTGAGGATGGCAGTGGGGCGGTCGGAAGGTGTACCCCCCCCCCTCACCCCCCTCCCCGGGGGGCCACCTGCCCCTCTGAGTGGACGGCCGGACTAGCACACTACCTGGCTGCCACGTGGACTCCATCCTCCCCTTTCCGCCGTACGCCGTACTACCTCACGCCGCACCCCTTACGCCGTACCTTTGCCCCTGGCTCCAGGTTGGCTACAACGCCATGATCGACAAGATCGAGAACCTCCTGGACGCCGGAGTGATCGACCCGGCCAAGGTGACCCGCAACGGGCTGCTCAACTCCGTGTCCATTGCGGGCATCATGCTCACCACGCAGGTGTGTGTGTGTGTGTGTGTGTGTGTGTGTTGGGGGGTTTGGAGGGGGGGTAGGACGGGCTATGCATGTACGTACGTATGTGTGGAGAGGGGCGAGAGATTGGAGTTAGGGCGGGAGAGGGGGCGAGGCTAATGTAATCGAGGTAAAGAGGGGTTTTGCGCTGGTGGTGGGTTGTGTACTCGGGGACTTAATTTGAACATGAGGCTTAAGTTTATAAGTTTATAGCCTTACGGCTGTTCTTCTCATTATGAATATGTTCCCCCCTGAACCCCTGAACCCCCTCCCACCCTGTGCCCCTTAGGCGGTTATGGTTGAGAAGTCCAAGCCGTCCGACGTGCCAGGCGGCATGACGGCGTCGGGCATGCCTTCTGGAATGACCATCTAGACAGCGAGCGAGGGGCCTGCCGGTGTGGGATGGTGAACTCTCCTGCCGACCGCACCGCTGCCCGGCTGACGGCCCCGCGGTTCGAGGAGGCCCCCTCCCGCCAATGTGGGCGGATGGGCGGTCGCGTGTGGCGGTGACGGTGGCGGAACCCATCTTCCTTGTCCACCCGGTGGAGGAACCCCGGGACCAGGTGGCTCACACACATACATACGCACCGTGGGTTACCACCCGCTGTAGGGGCGGGTGAGGGGGGGGTCGGTAGTGTATGTGTGTGTATTGGGGGGGTTATACTCCACTGGGGTTACGAAACGGAGGGGGACTGCACTGAAGATTCTAGGGGAAAACGACTGGGGGGATGGAGGGATGGGCGACGAGATTGGTGCACGTGCGGTCTGTCTGTCTTTAGTATAGAGTTTACTAACGGACTAACTATCGGGAAGAGACCAGTCGTCCGTGGACGGGAGGGATTCGAGCTTGCGTGTGTGTGCGAGAGTGAAGAGGGGCGTATGGAAGCTGGGGAGGCGATGCAAGAGCGGGGAGCTGTGGCAGTGTGACTCGGGAGGGGGGGAGTCGTGCGTCAGCTTCGGCCTTGTTGGTGTTCGATTGTGGTCTCCCGCCTCTCTTCGGGAGTTTCTTGACGACCTAGCCAGCCATGGATTGTAGGGGGTCTCTGGTGCTGCGGTTGAGTGGTCGCTTTGCGGTTGGTGTATAACCAGGTGAGGCACCTGGTGGTGGTCGTGGTGGTGGGAAGAGGCGCTGCAGTCCCGATACTGTCCCGCGCCAGACGGGGAGGGAGTGCGGGTAACGATGTGTGCATTGCCGGTACGACGTACGAGGTGTGATGGTTGGAATGATGGGGGAGGGAGGTTTGTCCCCGGGAGGATGACTACAGACTTTGGGGGTGTAGGCGGGTGGGAATGTGTTGCTGTACACAGGTTATAATCATCCGATGTTTCATCAGTGCCGTAACTGACAGACTGATTGTTTACTTTTCCCCCTAGTACTGCTCCTGTTGAGCATGTGCGTCACAGGCTGTATGTGCTTCATTTGCCTTTCCGTCAGCAGCGTCAGCTGATTGTCCATGAAAGCCACAAACGCGATTAGTGGTATCTGACCTTGCGGCCCTTCAGCCGCCTACTGGACTGCAGCGTGAACAGTTAGGTCTTGCGCAACACAGCAACGTTTCAACAACGCAGCAGCTCAATGTGCACCCACATGGTATGGGAGCCCATAGACTTCTGGCGGGGTGTTCGGTGCAAGGGAACCGCTAACCGCGAGGATTCCGTGTTGGAATGTGCAAATATGCGGTGACTTGGGGGCATTACAACAACAGGTAAATTGCAGTTGGTGATAGGAGATAAGTTGGAAAGTGATTTGGATGATGTACGTGCGTGACAGTAATGGGGTGTGAGAACATCGGTATGCGCAGCATCCTCTAGCAGCGCAAAGTTCCTTGACTAGCACTAATGGCAGGTCGACAGGGGTGTTGAGCAAATCAGGGACCGTACTGAATGTAAGTGAAATTGCTCATGTTTCCCTGATCAGCAACCCCCCCAAACCCCAGCAAACCCCAGCATGTCCCATGTGATGCGCGTCCTAAAGGAAAGCATGCCAAGGCCACACCACCAGACTTGATAAGGCACGTTATGCGTGCTTGCGACACGCTGCTGTTGTCACAGGTGTCCATGCAAGGCAGTTTGTACGCTTTCTGTGGTTGATAAAGTCGTCAGGTATCTCGACATTTCTACATCAGCTTCAGGCTGCGCATTGGAAAAGCATCTGGTGAACGGGAGACGCGGAACACGGGGCCGTACGTGCTAAAGCTGCGTGTACTCAGGGACGATGCCGACGCACAGCTCGCAACGTGGCTACTGTAAACATCGCAACGGGGCAGAAGTGCAACTGTCCATACAGCAAAGCAAATGCAAACTAATGGTATTGACTGGCTTAAAGTCTGCAGCTCCTTCCCTGCACGCATGCATTCATGCGGATGAAAAACCGCCTCAGTAAGCTTATCACCTCATCCGAAAACGTGAAAGCGTCTCCCGAGCATAGGGAAGACGGCTTGCAGTTGAGAGGGCGGGCGAGAGTCAACGCGGTGTAAAAAGCTTTGGAAACGGTATCTGCACTTCTTTGGCCTGAACAGTAATACAAAAGCATGTAATACAGCCAGGCTTGCGAAGGTAAGAAGCTTTCAGTTGGAATTTTCTCCCCGGAGGCTAGAGGTGTCTGGCTCCAGTACGTATGAACGCCATGATAAGAGCACGCAATCAGCTCAGTATTTGATTGGCATTTGAATGACAAGCCACGGCAATGCCTGCATGTGCGGGCAAGTCCAAAAGGAAGTACGGGGCAAAAAGTTCGGGTTGTACTGTCCTATAGCCCGCGTTCGATCATTGGTTTGTCCACTGTTTTCCTAGTCTTTATTACAGGGTTCTACAGCCCTGCGTGGGCCATTAGCTGTACTGAAGGTTTTCGGGCAACAATTCGATAGGCTTGCAAGTTGGTTTCAGCCCTTGCTACGAGCGGGCTAGTTAGTTGTAGCAACAACACCTTAGCAGATGGACGGTGCGTTCCCCAGCAGGAGGGGAGAACCGTTCCAGTACTCCGGCGACGGGCAGGCTGCCAAGCCGCGCGGCTTTAAAGGCACAGCTGAGAACGCAAAGACTAAAGTCTGCACACGGTGAGAGATATAGCTTTGGAGAACTGCCGGCAAAGGAACCTCAGATCGCTTACGGGACAACCTTGACCAAGGCTCTTTGGGCGTTCCGGGCGCAGGTGGTTGCAGGGCGACTGCCGGTTTGGCGCGCGTTGCAATTTCGCTCATGGAGAACAGGAGCTAAGGAAGCTTCCTGAACGGCCAGGTGGCCGTGGAGGCGGTCGCAGTGGCTACAACAACTATGGAACAGGCCGGGTGCGTACCGATCATGTTTGAAGGGCCACGAAAATCCTCTTGTCGTGAGCCGCTTTTCAGTTTCCTTTTGCAGGGTGGATACGGAGGCCGTGGCCAGGGCGGCTACCAGGGAGGTCCGGGCTACGAGGGCGTTGGCTATGGGCAACCCCAGACGAACGCCGACGATGTTTGGGCAGCCCAGGGCTACCCGGTTCAGGGCCCGAATGGCTGGGTCATGTATCGCACGCGCGACACCGGGGAGCCTTACTACCATAACCATCGGACTAACGAGACAACTTGGGACCGCCCAGCTGATTGGCAGGTTGGCGTGCCCATTTGAGACTTCCGACGACACCGCGAAGGTGCTAAAAGATCATTAAATCGCCGACGTATTAGAGTGCTGCTGCTGACGCAAAAAATGCATATGTCGCAACACAGAACTAATGTGCCTGCTAACACAAATGGCGTTTGCGTGCTGGACCCGTCATAGCCCCTGCGCGTTTTCAGCTGCTTATTGGTGTGACCCGGGCGTTTAGTCAATAGAGCTGCGGGTTTGTTGTCGCGGCTTTGCGCGCAGCTGTTGCCATGGGGACATAGCTCCGAATAGCATAGCACCACCGCTGCTTGTGCGGTGATGGTAATGTGTCAGTAAGACTTAGCCCAATGCGCTTACCGTGGCCTTTGTTGCGGGCGACGGCACACGCTGCAACTTAGCGCAAGACCTAACTGACGGCTAGAGTGACCAACTTGTCCTAGACGTTGGCGCTGGACTTGAGTACTCCCGGTCTAGCATGGTGCCTGACGTGTTGTAGGAAAGCGCGCAGCACGCTAATGTTAAGATGGCGAGAGCGAGGGCGGCAGCCTTAGTGGTGGCAAGGTGTGTACGAGGCTCGCAAAGGAGAGAACAGCTCAATCACGTATGGGCGCTGAACCGTCTGCTGGGGGCGTGTGAGATAGGCGACTTCTGGAAGTTTGGCGCTGGGAGTCCTAGTATATCACAGTGTTGGTTTGCCTCTGATGCACGATTGCGATGCCATTCTGCCCCCATTAGGGATGGTTTTGGTGTAACAGGGATCAGAGACTCGTAATACACTGCTGCCACATGGCCCATTTTGGACAGCTCACGCGGATTTCGTATCCAGTTCGTCGTACCTCGTACATACGTGCAGTAAGAAGTCTTAACCTCGTCAGCTCGCGACGTCGAACAGGTGTTGCGTAGGTCAATTTAGTCGGCGGTGGGACGGCAGCACATATTGTGGCCATGTTTGTGACCATCCATAGCTGCTAGGATGACCATAGCAGCGTGCAAAATGCAATGAGCGTAACCCTTGTGACTCGCCGATTTAGCCACAGAATGAACTGTCGCCATATAGCATCGGAGATAATTTGAAGCGCGAGACGAACATGTAACGTTATGATGTAGAAGTGTGTAACAAGGACTCTTATGCTGCCCATGTTTTGCATACGCGATTCACGCACCCTGGCACCCTCGTACTCCCCCAAAGCCGCACAGAGGAGACGTTAGACAGTCCGTTTTCCGGGTTAACAGGCTTATCGGCCTGCCCCAAACTATTCGGCCGTACTGTCGAACTGCATCTAGCATACATACATGGATGCTCCGTGTTTACGGCACATGGATTGTTTGTCGACAAGGCAAACCCCAGTAAGGTGCGGTTCACTGTTGATGCGCGCGGTGGGTAGGGGGTGTGTAGTAAGGAAACCCTTACTACACACGAAGTTCTTTCCCACGAGAGCCAGTGGTGATCAAACCGTCCAGGGGGGGTCCGTGTACTCAACATCGCTCATCTGGACTAAACGCAGCAATCCGCACTTGAGAGGCATCCCCAAGCTGTTCGTCGTAACTGTATACTTGCGCCACCTCTTACCCAAAGCCCCCCTCGACCTAGCCCAACTCGACTTGTGATAAGCACCTTAGATGGTGCCCGTGCATGTTAACCTCGCACAGCTGCAACCCTCGCCCGCCCCCAGCCCGAGCTCCCAGCCGCTAAGAAGTCCGCCGCCCACGGCGGTGCGCGCCCCCCTCGTACTCGGCTTGGCAGTCGCGTCCCGCCGCCTTACCCAGCAGCCACTCCCCCTACCGGTCTAACGGAAGACGCAGTACCCACCCCCTGCCTCACGCCACGCTAATGTCAAACCTTTCGTTCCTGCTGGTGGCGCAGTCCTTAATATTACAAGACGTCGCGCCCACTGCCGAACAGACATTGTGATGCGTCGGGCAGCTTCACCGCGCTGCACCCACCGCCTCCCGCTCCTCCCGCTGCTGCTGCTGCTGCTGGGCCGGCGGGTGCGGCGGCTGGTCCGGCGGGAATCCGGCACCCGCCGCCGTCGCCGCCGCTGCTGTCCCACTGCCATTGCCACTACTTTCACTGCTCGACCCCACTGCCATCCCCTCCTGCCCCTGCACCTGATGCTGTGTTTGCCGTACCGCCGGCCCCGCCTCCGCCTGCGCCACCGACCGTGGCGTGGCCTGTGTCTCGTACTCTTCCTCAATCCCCAGCTCCGTCCAGCTGCTGGCGCTGGCCGCTGCCTCTGCGGAGGTTCGTTCGTTGAAGAGCTGGGGGTTCTGTTGGGCGAACAGCTGGATGAGGTCGTGGGGTACGTGCTCCTCGGGCTCCCAGGATGCCTACACATACGTACATACGGACACACACCAGGGACGGAAAGGACGGGTGTCAGGGGGGCGGGTGCCAGGGCAGGGTAGGAGACAAGCGAAGGGAGTTGGACAGCAAAAGAACAAGACCGCCGATGCACCTGGGGCAGGCTGAGAGGCGCGGTACGTGCGGAGCTGCAGATCGACAAGGGCGCAAAGGTTTCCAGTACTAGGAGGGAAGCGAGTAGATATGCTGCAATTAGGCAGGGAGTGTGTTTCCGTGTGTGGGGAAGGTTGCTGTGGGTGGTGGTGTAGGTAGGTGAGCCACACCCGCAGCTCGGAGCTGTTAACTGGGGGATCAGGGGGGGAAGGGGGGCGGCATGGCCGCAAGTCGATAAGCGCTAGGCTCACAGGAGGCCATTGCGCAGCACCCGCAGCGGAAGGTGCACACATACATACATACATCTTGTGGTGTCGAGCTCTCTTAGCCGTTCTCTCTTGGAGGTGTTTTTTTGTTGGCCTGTTAGGTATATCAGGAGCCCTCCCCTGCCGGGACTGCCCCAACCAAATTTTTGTTTGTTTGTTTGTTTTCCCTTCGAATCCCGTTTTCGGTGGTGGTGTTTTAGGGGGTTGTTTCAGAGAGCCTTTGACTTTGCCCTAGCTGAGACTTGTGGACTCGCTCTAGCGGGACCTGAGAGCCCTTCGTGGTGTATTCAATGCAGCGCCACCCCCGGATGGAGGGGCTGCGGAGTGGCTGCGTAGAGTGTTGGCAGTCTGAGTCGGGGTCGGGAGCACACAAGACTAACCGACTTGTGCTGTGTGCTCCCGACCCTTGCGCTGTGTTTCGGCTTCGGCCCCCGGCTCTCGCAGCCCACAGTGTAATCTAAGTCATACATACATACATACATACATACATACATACATACATACATACATACATACATACATACATACATACATAGGCATTACCCCCTTTGCATTCACCTTCCCCCTTCCATCCCCTTTCCCCCGGGCCCCCGCGGCGGCGCCGGTGCCCCAAGACGTAAGACGTAAGGCATAAGGCCCTCACCGGGTATCCATCGGCCCAACGAATCTTGAAACGCCGTTCCGTGCGGATCTGGGGAAAGGGACGGGAAGAGGCGGCTTAGAGAGGGGGAAGGGGGAAGATATCGGAGGGAAACAAAACGAGACGGAGGAGGGGGAAGGGAGCAAACCCAAGGGTGTGTGTATGGAGGAGGCGGGGCGGGAGGGGGTGCGTATATGTGTGTATGGAAGGGGGGGTGCAACCGCGCCCCGCAGTGGCGGGTGAGGGTTTGGGGTTGGAGGGATTGCGGAGGGAAAACCCCCTTTACGCGGGTCGAGGAGCACCCTCCCGGGGGGGAGGGTTGAGGAGAGGAGGGGGGAGAGAGGAGGACCGACAAAGCCTGGATGGCCTTAGGTTGTCTTTGAGGGGAAGTGGGAGATGGGGCTTATACCCCTCCCTCCGTTCCCTCCTCCTCCTCTCAGTTCGTCCCAACGCACAATACATACATACATACATGCATACACCCCCTGGTCGTGTTTGGATTTGTCCATCCTTTCCACAACGTCCCAACCCCCCCCCATGCAAACATACGCACACAGACAAACACACAGATGCACCCCCACCCACCACATGTCCTCCTCCACCTCCCACCCCCAACCCGTACCTGCACAACGTCCAGCACCTCCGCCGCCGCGCCGTACTCCAGTCCCGCCAAGTAGTCCTCCAGAAGGTCAGCCCCCACATTCCGCTCCGAAACCCACTCGTCATCCCGACCGTCCTCCGGCGGAAAGGACACCAGGAACTCGCGGCTGCCGTCAGGAGCTGTGCGCATGTTCAGGATGTTGGCGGGGACTACCTCGTCGTACAGCCTGAAGCGGGAGGGGGAAAGGAAGGGGATGTACGGCAGCAGGGTAACGATGGGGTATCTTGGCAAGTCAAGGAAGCAGCAGCTCCAGAACCATGAGTGCAGTCCGCACTGCAGGGGAGGGGGCTGAGGGGGTGCGGAGGATGGAGGTGGGTTTTGCCTGCAGCGACATGAAACACAGAGTCAACTGCTTCCGGTGGGCGGCGGTTTCCCCCACCCATGCCTCCCCCCTTCACACACACCCTTCACACGCCCCCTCCCCTTCCCCCCCGCACCTATCCGTGAGGCAGTTGGCGACCTCCTCCAGCGCCAGGCGCCTCTGCACACTGGCCATGTTGAGCGGCATGGTGGCCTTCAGGTTGTCAATGAGGGTCACCACGTCCCGGCCCGTGTTGTCGCGCAGCTCGGGGTTGGCGCCCGCCTCCAACAGCACGGCCATGGAGGAGGTGTGCATGTAGCCGGCAGCCATATGGAGGGGGGTGAAGCCTGGGGCGCGAGGGGGGAAGGGGGGAAGTTGTGCGCAATATGGGGATGAGAAGTTCACACGACATGTGTGTATGTGAGGGGTGCGTGGGGGATAAAGCCAGATTGCAGGTGGCGGGTAATGAAGGGGTGAGGGGGAGGACGGGGAAGGGATTCGGAGGTACAAGAGGGGAACCAGGCTAGCATAATTCCACGTGGGTTGTACTGCTTGTGTGTGTGTGTTACCTGGTTGACCGCGGCACGAGTGGGCAAGGAGAGCAAGAAGCAGGGGAAGAGGAAGAGGAGCAGAAGCAGCGCTGTGGTGTATGTATGTATGTATGTATGTATGTATGTATGTATGTATGTATGTATGTATGTGTGTATGTATGTATGTATGTTGGGGCGGAGTGCGGGGTCAACATTTCAAACGCACACACGCAGAGAAGTGGTGGGGCAGTGTGGCCTCTGATGGAGGCGGAGGCGGAGGCAGGGGACTGAGCACCTCCAGGAATAGCACATGACATGACATGGCCTAGCACACGGCCCCCCTTCACATGCTCGCGCTTCCTCCCCCACCCCACTCCACTCCACCCCACCCCTTCATACCGCTCCCTCCCTTCCCCCCTACTCACCCTCCCTGTCCTGCAGGTCGACATCCGCCCCCGCCTCCACCAGCAGCCTAGTGCAGTCCGCATTGCCCAGCGCGGCCGCAAAGTGGAGGGCACTAGCGGGGGCGGGGCCGGGGCGGGGCGGGGCGGGAAAGACGAGGCGCGGGAAGGCGGGGTCTCACACGACAGCGTGTAAACGTGCAACGTGGGAGAGATGATGGACGATTTGACAGGAAAATGCCGACGACCCTATGTACGGTCTCCTGCACATACCCCAATCCTTCTCTTCCTCTTTTCGAGGGCGCAGTGCGACACGTACATACATACATACACACGTACCTCCTCCTGTTTTCATCCACCACGTTGGCCAGCAGCTCCCGGGCGCCCCCCAGCATGCGGACCAGGGTGTCCAGGTCAGCCTGGGGGGGGGAGGGGAGGCGGGGAGGGGTGTGTGTGTGGGGGGGGGAAACGAACAGAGGCGTCCGCATGTCCGGAGGTGACGACAACAACACCAGTAACCTCCCCCACCCTTCCGGACGCAGTACTTCCGTACAGGGGGGATGTGGGAAAGCGGGGAAGGGGGAGTCATAACTGCAGATAACAATGACTCAACCGCCGACACGGACCTTGCAACAGCAGCTGGTGCCGGAGGGGGAGCTAGGTGAGCGCGGGGAGGGTAATAGGGGGAAGGGAGGGACGAGATGTACGGATATGGAACGTGAGGAGCAGTACGGCCAGTCAGGACGCAGGTGTGTCGGCCGGTAACGATGCGAGCAGTGCGAGGTACGTCCAGATGTCGATCAGTTCGGTGTGGGGGGGGTCCAGTGAACTGAGCCGACCCGCGAGGAAGAGCCAACCACGGATGGGATGGGAGTTCCCGGGTATATGTGTATGTCTGTCCCAACTCACCCCACACACTCTCTCACTCACCTTCCGTACAGCGGTCCACCACTTATCCTCGTACTCCCGTATCAAGTCCTCAGACAAGTTAGCGGACACCTCCCTGTGGGGGAAACGAGGGGGAACGAGGGGGGGGAGAGGGGAAGGGGCAATGCACACAACCATCCAAGGGTCAGTGACACCCGCACACATGTCATGTATCGTACTAGCAGTGAGGACACAGTCCGGAGCCCGGGGTTTCACCGCGGGGCCCTAGGTCAACACATACACAAACACATGCACACACATCCCTAACGTCACGTTGGCCGCCACCTGCGCATATACACACTGCCTGTACGCGGCCAGCCTAGAAGAGCCTGTTCTCCCCTCCCCCCCCCTAACCCCCCTCCCCCCCCGGACAGCCCTCTGGGCCCTCTGGTGGGGGGCCCGTGTGGGGGCCCCCGCTCTACACGCTCCTTGTGAACACGTGGTCGTCCCCTTCCTAGTCCCCCGACACACATACACACACATACATACACAAACATACGAGTTCACACATCCGATGGATTAACGTTCCAAGTGCCGCAGCTCCCGGACCGTTTCTCCCCCACCCCAAGTTAAGTTTCCATACAGGCGGATGGGGTGGAGGTGCTGTGTTAGGCCCCTTGCGGGCCACCCCATTGCTGGCCACCCAAGTTGACGGACAGTGGCCCCTACTGCAGTTCCGACAACTCACCAGGTTGGGTCGGAGCCGTCCTGAGAAATAAAGACGGTGGGGACGAAGAGGGAGTTGGTGTTAGATTCTAAGGAAGGGGACGAGGTTCCAGGGGGCGGTTGGCGGAGCGGTCCGCGATTCCCGACAGCTAAGCCTCACAACATTAAATGGGGAAATGCGCCGCACCTTCCATTTCGTGTAATATTCAACACGTGGTGTATCCGAATCGACGATGATGCGCGCACCGGCGAGCTCCTCGACCTCCTTGTAGCCCTCGACAAAGACTAACGGCGCCAGACCCGATGCGTGGGCAGTTATGATGATATGATGACGCTCAGTTGATGGCCGCAGGCTGATTAGCTGTGGGCGAACGCGCGGGGTTGGGACGGGTCTATGCGCCGTGCCCACTGAACGTTTTACGCGAGTGAGCATTTGCTTGAGAGAGCAGATGCTGTGACACACTTCACGTTATGATTCCAATCTGCAAAAACGGATCTACGCAATTGTGTTGTTTTATGCAGAGGCGTATCGAGGCAAGCAAGTCAATGGATCCTTGAATTTTTATGAAGGATATAAGCAGCCGTTGCAGGACTCGCGACAGGTGAAGGTGAGCAAGCTGCGTCGTCGCCATTCAGAGGGGGGGGAAAGATTTTAGACAGTACGGAAATTTAGCAATGACAAACGGAGTTCCAAGAATGGTGATGAGCAGCATACCGATATGCGTTTTTTGCATTTGCAGCCATGCCGAACATCAGGCAAAGATGACATGGTTCAGAGGGTATTCTAGCTTCGTCGCGACACTACTGTGCCGGGTTCTGCTCTTGCAGCCATGGAGAGCCTTGGCGGAATCATTTGTTCATTCAGATGTGGCTGTTCAGCTGTCAACGGCAAACTTCACAAGCACTTTAAGCTCATTAGAAGCTGAACAGATTTGCCTTGTCGAGTTTTACGCGTCCTGGTGCCCCGCTTGCAAACATTTTGCGCCAACCTTCGAGACGTTTGCGCGTTTTTTGAAAGATAAGCGTCTGGGAGGGAGGCTGCTGTTCATCGCGCGGGTGGACTGCGCTTCTGAGGTACGAGCCCACGCGAGCAGACAACAGCTTCTTTCTCCTGTGTATATCTTATGTGACTGCTTCAGAGTGCTTAAGAGACAAAGGTCGACAGGCAAAGGTCGACGGGAAACTCTCCCCGCAACTGTCTTAGGGCCCATCCGCTGACTTCGTCGTGTGGACCAGCAGCCCTCCAAAGACATCCTGGCCTGCTAGGATAAAATTTCATTCTCGCATAGCACAATCGGTACACGCACAGCTGTATTGCACGTTCCTCAGCAGTGGCCCATCCGAGGCACATCCACGACGCGCCATGCCATGCCGCACGGAGGCAGCTATGACCCATTTCGCTCCTTGCCCCAAATCTCCGGTCAGGCGGACCTTTGCGGTTCCTTTGACTTGCCGGGCTATCCGTCGCTCTTCCTGGGCCCAGCGCCGGACTTTGCCGCCAAGCAGCACAAGAAGCTGCATCTCTACAACGGCCATGACCGGCAGGTGCCGCACCTGGTGGCTTGGGTCGGAGAGTACTTCAAAACGTGGGTGTACTGTGATGTGGTATCGATCTGGGTCACTGTGAAGCGCAGCAGAGTCGCCCTGCGTCGCAACAGGATCAGCGTGAACCCGGTCGGCCGCCTGCCTGCGTGCTCTTGGTTGTTCCTTTGAGAGGTGCCCCCCTACCCGGGCCATGGCCGGCTTCTTAGCGGGGTAGTCCTGGGACCGCACCCCGGAGTGGTGCCAGCTGGGCTGGGCTGGGCAGGTGGATTACCACGTGGCTCTACCGCCACGTAACCATGGACATGGACAGTCACCGTGCGTTAACGGTTATTCGTTATCGATTGCAAGCAGTTGCCACGTCGGCCGTTCCCTGCGTTGAACTCCTCTTCGCTTCGCTTGTGCCCACACGTGCTGCAGCCGGCGTTCTCCGTGTCGTACAATGCGTAAAATATAGCTTTTGAATATCGCATGCGCCCATTAATGTCATGCGCGTCCCTGTTGGTTCTCTACTCGTCCATGAGTACCCGACAGCCCCTTCCAACAACGGTTGGTGCCGCAGGGAGTTGAAGTACACGCCGGAGACAGCGGCGCTCGGTGACAGCAGCGGCAGTGGCGGCGTCCAGGCTCCTTTGGGGGCCGGCCGGGAGGGGAGCTCCTCCTCCTCCTCGGGGCATGTGAAGCGGCGGCCGCTGCCGCAGGGTCCGGAGTGGTCGTTAGCTGACGTGGAGGGGGCCACCTTGCAGCTGTGGAGCATCGTGGCCACCACACCTCGCCTACATCGGGGGGCAGAGAAGCGGGCGGCGCTGCGCGGGTTGCTGGAGGGCTGGGCGGCGGCGCATCCCAGCATGAGGTGCGTACTGGGTTGGATGGGTGGGCGATGAAGTGAGGCAGGGGCGCGATGTGGTGCTACGGGGGGAAGGATGAGGGGGAGGGAGGGCCTGAGCCGCGTGCCCGAAGGTTGTGTGTTTGGGTCTGTGCAGTGGGGGACATGACTGAAGAGCCAGCAGGGACATTGGGTAGGGGTGAAGAAGCAGGGGGATGATCCTCACTGCCAGCGAAGGCGCAGCAGCGGAAGACACAAGGGGATGTGCGACAGGAGCCCTACATGCGTAAACCTTGGGGGGGGGATGTGAGAGAAGTTCCACTGACCCATGGGGGGATGGATGTGTTGGGACTTGAGAGGGCCCTTGACCGGCTTGCATGGCGGCGCAATCACGTGAACCGGAACATACCGGACGGGGGGGTTGGATCTCTTCGATTAAGGCGATGCAGCGCAGGGCAACACCATGGGAGTCATCTGCCGCTGCAAAAGAGCCGCGGACCGAACAGCAACCGGCCCTTCTACAACCCTATTCCAGCTCCACCCACCCACTCCTGCAGCTCACACGTGCCTCACCCTCCCTCATGTGCGGCCAGCTGCAAGTCGCAGACGGCTGCTATGCTGTCGTCGTACGACAAGCTGTGGCCGCCGGAAGAGGAGGATGCGCCAGCAACGTTGCTAGAGTCGGAGCCGTGCGGGCCGCCCGGCCGGTTGTCGTACCGGGGCGAGTGGGTGACGTGTCGTGGATCCAAGCCCGACAGTCGCGGCTACTCATGTGGGTTGTGGCAGATGCTTCACACGATGGCTCTGCGGTGAGTGGTCCTCTCCCCCAGGGGGAAAGGGGGAGGGGGGCATGTGTTGGGACTTGAGAGGGGCCTGATGGGATAGCACTGGAAATGCGTAAAAGAGAAGAGTGGAGGAGTTGGGTAATTATGAACGGGAGCGAGAGGGGGGATATGGGTCGGTCTAGGGAGGGGCAGTGCGCGCGCGGGGACGTATGGTGGGCGTGAGCAGGGGTAATTAACTGCGGCAGTTCTAGCGCATGGTACGGCATACTTTCCTCCCCCGCCTTGATATTTTTCCACCGGTTAATGTTTCCGGTCTAAAGTGATCCCTGTTGTTGATGTTGTCGTTGTTGTTGTTGTTGTTGTTGTTGTTGTGAGGTACGCTTTCCGACCTCATCACGCGACCCCGGGTCCCCCCTTGGTCCCAACCGCTCCGTCCGCGCCCCAGCACAGCTCAGTGTGTTGGTCCTGACAGAGTCACCCCCTGGAGCCTTTCCTCCCGAATTCCACCGGACAGTCTTGCGTTTGCGTTTTAACCTCATAAAACGGGAAATTTTTTAATCTTTCAGTGAACTTTACTCCCCCTTTTACTCCGCCCTTCACTTCACAGCTTGCCGGACTTGCCCGGTGCGGTCGGACCCGCGCAGTCGATGATGACCTTCCTGACCCTCTTCAACACACACTTCTTCCTGTGTGAGCCGTGTCAAAAACACTTTGGACGCATCCTCTCCTCGCCCGAGGCAGCGGCCGTGACTGACCGGCGGGCGCTGGCGCTGTGGCTGTGGAGGGTGCACAACGAGGTGAGTGGGGGAGGGGATTAGGTGAGGGGAATAAAGCGCCCACTCGACAGAGAGGGAGGGAGATAGAGGGCGGCAGTTTGCCGAGCCGGTTTGGGGGGACGCGCTCAATGTGCTTTGGAAGAGTACGGCACATTTCCTCAGGGGGAGCAATGAGGGACAAGGTGGCGGTCAACTGCATTGCCTGGTAACACCACAACCGCAAAGGAACGAACCACCAGCACGAAGGGATTATCCTTTTGGGGTCGCTCCCCGGTATCTATTGTCTATGTATGTATGTGTGTATGTGTGTGCACCTTGCCTTAAGCCGCATGCGGCACTGTGCAGTCCGGGAGTATCCGGAGGACGAGCCAAGTACACGGAACTTGGGGACTTGTGCGGATCCTAGGTGTTTGTCATATCTGGTTTGGATTTTTCCCGTGTCCTGTGCCGGTCCATATCACTATTCAAACGGCCCCAACAGTGTTATGGGTTGGGTTGGCGCTCAGTCGGGCGGTGAGTGGTAACTAGGCGCGCAGCCCCTGGAAAGGTGGGGTGTTGCCCCTAGGTGCACGACCACAACACCTCTGTTGGTCCACGGCCAGCACACTCTCAGCATCACAACCGCGGTTTGCGGCGGTCTATGGTGCTCTTCCAAAAGGCCCTTCCTCCTCCTGATGGTTCGCTGGGGAGAGGGGTAACACATGGGGTTGCTGTTCTTCCATTCGCACGCCTCGGGGCTCCGCTTTGAACGCAGGTCAATGAGCGGCTCCATGGCATTGAGACCCGGTACGGCCATAGTACGACGGGCGACCCGGAGTTTCCCAAGGAGCAGTGGCCCGCACCCGAGTCCTGCCCGATGTGCCGTACGGAGGACTCTGGCGCATGGGTGGAAGAGCGGGTGTGGGAGTACCTACAAGGCGTGTACGGCGCTGACGGCGGGAGCGCTGCGAAGGCCGTGGTGCTCGGTTTGGATACGAGGTGGGTGGTTAGGTGGCATCTTGTGGGTGATTCCTGGCAAAGAGGGGTGTTTGTGACTGAGGGGGTATCAGGGCAGGGCAGCAGTCAGGGCAGGGAGGTCAGAAAGTTGATTAGGAAACCTGACTGACTCACGCGAAACCGCACGCATCCCGAGTGTTCCGAGCCAAAGTGCCTTAGGGCAAGAGGCCCTGGTCGAGGGAAAGACACCCGGACCCCGGGGTGGGAATCCGGTAACAAATGTACGTATAAGCCTGCCATCGAGCCGCTGGTGGAGAGTGGCGCAAGTTCATCTCAGTTCCAGAAAGCGGCTGTTCTCTCCTTTAATGCGATGGGTGGCTCAGGAAGGGACTGTTGAGAGAGGCTTCAGCTGCTACAGAATGCAGTCTTTCTTGGCGTCCTGAGGGAATTAGCTTTCTCGTATCCAACCCCACCTTGGGCGTTTTGCAGGCGCCGCACGTCGTCTGCTTTGTATGGCATGCTTCCTGTGCTGGGCGTTCTGGCTGCGGCGATACTGCTATTCTTGTTCATGCGGAGCAGCTTGGCGGTGTCGGCGCGACGTGGAAGGGGCGGCGCGGGGAGCGGGGGAATATTGTGGCCATCGGCTAAATGACGGTGCGGCCCACGAGCGGCTGACGCTCGTGGGCGGTTCCATGCTGCGGGCGCTACAACCAATTCCACTGTGTGCCTTGACCTGGGGAAACAGGGGGAAATGTATGGGGAGAAAAATTTATGAGCCAACATGCAGTTCAATGATTTTCTCCCCCCTTCCCCGAAAGGTTCCTGTGTGCATATGCATGCTTTCGGGCCACCAGTGGACCCCTGGCACTACTCATCCGAAGTGGTGAGAGGTGGTCCTGGCATTTATGTCAAGCTGCATACGGGGTGCATTTTCATTTTTTTGGCCATAGTTTGTTTCCAGAGGATTGAGTGCGCATGTGGAATCTGGACGGAAGTATCAGCGTGATTTGGGTCATATGAAGTGTACGTTGCACTTCAGAGAGCGGTATTGAGCCATGCAATCATGGTTTTACTTATCGAGGGATTCGTGAGCGAGGGACCGAGAGGGGAAAGGGGACTGCCGAGAAGATGGGGTCTTGCCATTGATAAGTGGACTCCTTCACACATTGTACATATCGCTCGCATATTCGCTCAGAAGACAGATGTCGGTCACATCTACGGCTAAAGTGAGGGTTCCACCTTGCAATCACCGTCCTGCCTAGCTGTTCGTGCGCGTCTCCACAGCACGCGCGGTAATTCACATAATCCACATAGCGCCTGCTGGCATTACACCATGAGCACTTTACCTGGCTATGCGGCCAGCATCCGAAAGACATCGCACTCCGCTACCATACTGTTCTTTTGTACAGACGAGGCATATTCGCCAAATGATAAAGTGCGGGGAAAAAAGATGGATGATGTCACACCACATGAATACGTGCAGTCAGCACATCGCACGAACGTTAGAGCCCGACACCAATCCCAAAACCTCAGCTCATGCTGCCCCAGCCGCATTTGACATGCCCACATGTCATGCTTCCCCCATCCTGACGCCACAAATAAAGGTTTGCTGCTCGTAGCGCGTAAAACGCCATTTATTCATGGTTGCTTTTAGGTACCCAACATCGGTTCCTGGCAACCACAGCAGACTCTCAGTTTCGTACACGCATTTCCAGACACGTCAAGCAGACACAGCCGCCCCGCCCGGTCGTCCAGTTAACCGATGAAACGTGAGTAAGCGACATGCCCGTGGTACGCCTTACGGCAAGCAACTAACTTGTGCCCAACCTCACCCACTACCGACTGTTATTCGCCCAAAAGATGAGCACAACACGCGCTGCTGCATGCGGACGCCCAGACCCAGTGCAGTATTTATGGACTGTAATTATCAGCTATCATTCACGATGTGCAGGGGGCTGCACACTCATGATACGGGCGTGTGCTGTGCAATCACCTCGCCATCCGCCGGCTCGCTTCGCTCCTGTTCGACACCAATGATCCCTGCAGACGTCCCCGTCCCCGAGAGCGATCCCAATGCCAGCTGCTCTTTACGCCCCTTGACACACAACGCTGGGCCGGAGCCCTCCCTCACAACCCTGTCGCTTGCAGCAAGGGAAGCCGAGTCTGGGCTGCGTGATAGCGCCTCGGCCCGTCCATGCCCCTCGTCCCCGTCGCTCTCCCGCCGTGGTGATTCCGCTGCACTGCTACTCAATTGTACCGTGTCCTGCTGCGAGTGCTGTTGCTGTAATAACGTTACGCTTTCTAGCGGCACCCTCTCGTTGACTGCTCGGCCCGATGCTCCGTCTGGTTCCGTGAAGGTTGAGGGTGCTGTCCGCGGTGACACCGGTGTCATTGCCCCGTTCCCGCGGAATTGCTCTGGCACGTTTGCGAGGGCTGAGTCGACGCGCCTGTTATCACAACGCACAAGGGAGCACCAGGCATTTATTTACCTCAGCACTCAGGCCTCAATGGGCAAGTATAGGATCACCTAAGCTGCACAGGCAGCCTGGTCAGTCAGCGGGATCGACCAGGGAAACTTACAATCGTTTGAGCTCCGAGAGCTGACTGAATGTCTCCGGCAGCTCAGTGATTTTATTGTTGTCAAGCCACCTGGGGTGACACAACGAAACGTTCAGAGCAAAGCGATGCCTGGCGTCCAGCAATTGTAAACATACACTTACAACGACGTGAGGCCTTTCAACTCCCCGATGCTCTGAGGCAGATGTTCCAAAGCGTTGTCGTTTGCAATCCTGTCGGAAGCACACCACAGCACGCCTTCATTCTAACCCCTTCATTCTCCACAGCTTACGTTTCATAGCAGTTTACGTTTCACTTACAATTGGCGAAGGTTCGTTAATTTGCCCAAAGCATGCGGGAGGGAAGACAGCTGATTGTCATGTAGCCATCTGCACACAAATCAAAGCATGTAGCGGGGAGGGTTACGAATGTCCGTACGGTGGTGCCTGGCAGCCGGTTGCATTACCCATCCCATATCTTACAGCGTTTGCAACTGACACAAGTCACACAGCTCCGCTGGCAACTGCTTCAAGTTGTTGCCGTCAAGCAACCTGCGGCGGGATGTGAGGCCCCATTAAGGCGGACGACACAAACAACCCTTTGCAGCCAAATCCCTGACTCACAGCGACGTCAAGCACGTAAGCTGGCCGAGAGTAGATGGCAGCTGTGTGAGGCCATTGTTGCTCAGCAACCTGTGAAGCAACGCAGCCAGCGCATTAACCATTTCCGTGTTGCCGCTCGAAGATACGGGCCTATCGGATTACCTCGAAACTTACAGCGCTGTGAGACTCGTTAGTTGCCCAACCTCCGATGGCAAGACAGTCAACTGCATGCTGTTCAGCGCCCTGCAGAGAACGGCCGCGGTTATTGACTGTAAACCTGTTCATTTAAAAACGTTATGAATCCCAAAAACTCACAGGCCAGTAACTTCTCCGTTTAGGGTGCGGACGCCTTGCCAGCGCTTGAAGTCGGAGGACCGCCAGAAAGCAATGCTGATCTTGCTGCCCGGGTTGCTGTCCCGAATCTTTGCCAGAACGTCACGGTTACGTTCTTCAAACGCGTTCGTGGGCTGCGCGAAGAATATATCCCGTGTGGGCAAGGGCAAAGGCCAGCCTAGGTTAGCGCCCCTCCATCGCATTCACCTGCTCAACGGATGGAGCAGCAACCGGCGGCTCTGCGTGCCCAGTAGCGAGGTCCGAAACACGTCTTCGAAGCTGGTTGTTCATATTCTTCAGCTCCGTGTACTGCCTCTGCACCTCAGCAAGCTTTCGCTCGGCCTCCGCTCGCGCCTCCAGTTGGGCTTGCAGCCCTGACCCGGCAAGCTGCCGAGTTGCCTCAAACTCCCGCTGCAATCCATCATGCTCCTTCTGCAACTCTTGCAGCTTGGATTGCAGCTCCGCATACCGGCTCTCCGAGTCTTTCGCTGCTGAGAGCAAGGCCGAGTTCCGCTCCTGCAGCTGTTGAAGTTGCGCCTTGAGAGCAATGAGTTCGCTTGCAGGGACTGTTGCTTCAGCATGGGTGGGCTGCCCGACAGAAGCTACATGATTGTTTGTATTTGGCTTTGACCCCGTGTGGTTTCCCGATTTGACGTCGTCGAACGGTTCACGGTCTTCCCTTGAGCACAGCCCGCCCATGGCAAGTTAAGGACCGCCTATAGCACTTGCAGAGATCCAAGCGAAGTCACCTAAGCCTTCAGGACAAAGATGTTGAGCATTCGTATTGCCCAAAGTTTTCCGCACCCACAAGGGCGGCATGGGAACTCCTAGTAGGGACGGATAAGGTCAAGCATAGATAGGGAAACATGACGATGGGTGCACGCCAGTGTTTCGATGACCCAGGCATGTACGACGGCCTGAATATTTTCATTAACCAAGCATGTTCCAATACAATATTGCGATATTGGGATATAGTCCTCATACTCTTCACTGGGTTTGCTTGCATAAACGCTCCTAGCATTTTAAGCACTTTTTGTGTTGGGTCCCTTTTGTTTTGCCGGGGTAAGATTGCCCTGTACTGGCAAAGGAGTCGGCAGTCCACTGTTGTGTGTAGTACCGTTGATATTACGAACTAACCGTAAAGTGTCTTATGCGCCACACTCAGGGCTATCGTGCCCGAGCCCGTTTGTAGGAAGCTTATCGTTGCAAGTGCGATGCAGACGGGCAGCTCAAAAAACTTGATGCGTGTTTGCGTCGTTTCCTTCTGGCACCAAGCCTGAGCTGCAAGCAACCGGTACCCGCTGAGAAGCATTGAACTCCTTGCGTTATGACTCACGGAGACTGACATCGTCGAGGGGCTGAAGGAAATGCGCAATAATAACTCGTCGGGCTAAAGGGATCCCCGCTGAGTATTATAAATACGCGATGAGGGAGTGTGAGAGACAACAGCCCGTGCACGTGTTGGCACCGTAACTGATGGAACTATTTAACCGCGTATACTGAGGGCTGAGTACCCGAGCACCTTCACCACTAGCACCCTCTTCCCCGTCTTTAAGAAGGGGGATGTGTCTTGGTATGACAATTACCGTGGCGTTACGGTAGGGGGTGCACTTGCAAGCTGTACGCTAACGTGAATGCACGGTGGGTTAACAAATACTGTTTAACTCATGGGATCCGTGCCGCAAGCCAGGCCGGATGTAGGCGTGGACTTGGCCCTGGGCGCCACCTGTTTACACTTAATCACCTCATCGCTAGGCACATGATGGCTGGCGCCAAGCCGCCATGCAAATTAACTTTTTGACTTTCTGGACCACGAGACGCTCTGACACTTCCTACAATCGTACGGGCTTCAGGGACGAGTCCTCGATGTTCGCAAGGCTAGTTACGCCGATGTTAAGGCCTAGGTAAAGTTAGGAGAACGGCTGTGGCCCAAGTTCTCGGTAGGGCGCGGAGCTAAGCAAAGGTGCCCATTAAGCGTTACCCTGTTTGGGCATTTCATCGATGTATTTGCTCATTACATCCATGCTCATGACAAGGATTGCTGGCTGCACCGCCCCCTTTGGCGGTCCATACTGCAGGACCAAAGCGTGGCACTGGGGGACAGCGAACTCACAAATTTGCTATTTGCCGATGATGCGTCGCGCATAGCAACCGGCTATGAGCGGGTGCAATGCCTTCTCGGCTTGCTCGAGGCTTTTTTCAAGGCAACTTGGATGACTGCTAACGCTGCTCAGTATGAGGTGCTGGCCTTTGGGGCCAAACGTACGGAGAGGAGGTCGCTTGTGGGGTCCGTGTACCGGCTGGGTGGGGAGATGTTGCATTTGCTGGCCCATAATGAAACTGCACGGTGTCTCAGGCTGCACTACGGGACGAACCAACGGTTTGCCGCCTGCACTAAAACCAGCTACTGTACTTGCGGCAGGGAAGCGAACCACTTTTGGATTCACTGCCCTCTATAAGAAAGTTACTGTACCTAAGCTTGGCATGTCACCCTATAATTCGCTTGTCTTGCCTGTATTTTCCTATGGGACGCAAGTGTGGGGACCCGAATTTCTAAATGCGAGCTTTGAGAGTGCCATGGCTAATCCCATGGTACAGAAACAGCGTGCGTTTATGTGGATGGTGGTAGGAGCCAGGAGCTCGACTGTGGTCCCGCTGTACCATGAGTTGTCGCAGAGGCCACTCCAGTTTCATTGGGCTAATTTAGTGCTAAGGTTCTGGAACTCCATTTTGGTGACAAAAAGGCCGGGCACTCAGTGTCATAGAGCTTCTGTGGCCGGCATGGGCCGGGCATTTGACGGTAACAATGAATGTTGGGCGAGCAGGCCATGACCTTTATAACCAGCTTGGGCATAACCTTACCGGCTGATTTGTGCAGGGATGATCTGGTGGCGCATTGCGTTAACCTCATGCTGCCCGTGGGAGACGTTCTGGGGGTTTCGTGAAGAGGCTTGATGCACGTTGGACGTGCGAGAACACCTTGGGTAACCCCAGGCGTTTCCCCACTGGGGCCAAGGCGTGCCGTTACCATAATTGGATGTTGACACTGCCGTGATGGAGCGCGCCCTGGATGGCTCGCTCACGCAGAGACCGCCCTCCCCCAGCGATTGCACCAAGTCCTTGTGCGCTTTAGGTCGGGCTGTTGGGAGTGAAAGGTTAATAGGCCCAATGACCGTGAGCGCCCGCATGTCCTGCAGGCTTTGTGACTGTACACCGTCATGACCGAGGCACCCCCTCTGGCATTTAGCTAGTGTTTTATCCGAGCTCTGGGAGACTAGGCACGCAGCACCCAGAGCGGGAGGATGATGATAATCGCCCCCGACTCCATAACATAAACTTTGACTATCGTTTCTAACGCCCATGGCTTCCCCCCGGCTTTGATGGACCCCTCCGCACTGACACTGTAGCTGTAGCTGTTAGGATGCCGAGGGGGAGAAATTGAGCGTCTTAGCGCAACGGAATCCGCATGGTGAAGGATTGTTGAACTGCTTGAACCCTGGTCGTGCAAGAGTTCTAAGATGTTTGGAAATCACGTGTGCGTGTAGATCATAGAAATGTGCGCGACATGTGTCAGCTTCCACTATGCGTTGGTTTGTGGTATAACTGCTGTCAGGTGAAAACGGGACATGTCGCGCGGTTATCTGAAACGACCTCCAGCAGCTGCGTACCCACCTGCGAGAAGATGTTAGCAACCGGGTTTTTTAGCAGGACCCTAACGTCCTACAGGACGGAACGGAAGGCATTCTGTGTGTTCAAGGGCTATCCTATCCTTCCGTGTAAGGCTACCGAGTAACGTTGTACCGATGGATGGAACCGGGGACGTTCTCTGGGTCTATAGCCAAAAGAACGACAAGTTGCGGCCGAGCATCTGTTAAGTTCCGATTATGGCAACCCTCCGGAATTCAAAAGCCGTATAGGGCTGTATGGCGTGGACGAGACATCTGAAAGGGAGGCTTGGCGAGACACCTGGTCATTTTTGGAAGCGCCAGCTGCGCATTTGACAATGTCTTAGTGGGCTCTTGGATCGGTCTAAAGTCTATTGGGTCGAGGTCCAGGGTCTAGTCCTGGGTCTGCCACAAGGCAGCTGCCATTAAGTGCTGTTAAGGTCCTTCAAAAGCTGCCTCAAACTGTGGCGATTATACCGAGGTGGTCTGACATTTTATTAGTCCGAGCCATTGGTTTACACGTCACCTACTACTTAAAAGCAACCTTAATAGCGGGCGCAGGCTTGGAGCTGTGGCGCTATGTTCAGGCGGTTGCCTTGACTGCCTCTCCGTACGGCTTCCACACCGTACATTCGTGCAGCGGCAGGGGTGGCTATCCGCCAAATGCATGCAGGCCGACGCGGGAAGTTAGTGACTCCCTCCGCAAAGCAAATGCACCAAATGCAACGAAAGGAGAGCATCATGTGCAATGGTACCGTACAAGGACAGCACATAAATGCATCCACCGTCCGAGATAAGCAGAATCCCATTCAGTGTTCAGTTCATCTCCTCCTACACAACCGGACTTAAGTAAAGGCAATATACCAAGTGGGAAAACAAGGTCCGAAACTAGGCAAACCACCCACCTTTGGATCCCAAGGGTCCTTAGGATTCAACGGTCATGCAAACCCGGCCGGGTACAGCTACACAGCTCTCCTCCGGGGTCCCGGAGCATCTGATGCCCTCCGCGGGACGCCCAATTCAAAATTCCGCGAAAGCCCTGCCCGTCTCAACAGCAAGTCAAAATCATGAGGTGAGGCGAAACCCGCTATCGCCACCACAAGCCGCTGAACAAACCACCAGGCGACGAGCGGGCTAACCTGCTGGGCCGCCACTCCAGTGCTCCAGATGAACGTATATTGCTACATGCATGCATGCATACATTAGTACATGCAAATCCATGGGGTTGAGAAGTCGGGACGAGAGGTCAAGATCACAAATTCCTCCTGTCCGCCATTGCGTTGAAAACCTGCCGATTTCCTAGCTGCCTAGCTACCTAGCTACCTACCTATCATCTTCTGCGATAGCACGAGAAAGAGAGCCCGCCAGCATTAGAAGTTGAAGAGGTTCGTCAAGTCTGTCCTCAATGAGAAATGAAGCCAACCCCCCTCGTATCTGCACCCACCCGCTTGCGACATGCGTACTGGTGCAGTAGTACACTGTGATGTGATTGCCGCGCCATGCCACCGTTGTAGCCGTCAAGTAGGGTGCAGCCATGCAGACCAGGTCATCGTTGCACATCTTACACCCGCCGCTAGGCCCCACGTACCCTTAACGGCAGCCGATCTCACCCTATGCCGGGCTGAGAGACACCACACTCAGGACTTCCTTCACAGCCCACAGCAGCAACCCGTCACAGCTAACAACTAATAGTCTCCGTAAGCCAGCTCGTCAATCATGGTATCAAGCAGGTCCCGCACGGTGAGTTGGATCTTCCAGTCGTCATTGCCCTCCCGCATCGAAGAAGTCCTAGACATGCCCAGACTTGCTGCCGGCTGTCGCCCCGCCAGGGACACCGAGCGCACCAAACCCATTGAACTGATATTCCCAGGTGAGCCAGTCTCGCCAGAGCCACTGCCGGCCCCACTTCCGTCGTTGTCGCTCAGCTGCATGCTCCGTCGAACGGTTATGCGGCCCCCAGCACCACCACCAGCACCCTCAGCAGTAGCAGCGTTATCACCATCACCAAGAAGTGCACAAAAGCTGCCGTTACCTGCTGTTGCGCTGCTTGCTGCGCTCCGGCCGCAGTCGGCCGGCAGCGGCAAGGGGAGCACGGCGGTGGTAATGCCAGCGGTCAGGACCCCACTACCCTCCCTGGCTAGCGAACCCACCGGGGTGAGGGAGCCAGATGAAACTGAGCACGTAGCGGTGCCCGGTGCAGCCGACTCCGCTGCTGCCAGCATTCCCTCTGCCGTCTTCCTCCGCCTGCTTTCCACCATCAAAATGTCGGCCAGTCGCCTGTTGCTAACTTGCTTGGCCGCCTGTATCTCCCGCTCCTCCTGAGCTGCTTTCTGCGCCGCTGCTTCAGCCATGGACGAAGGCGGCGGCTGCAGCAGCAACGTAGCGTCCGATAGGGCTGACGCAGCGGAAGCTTGCTGCGTGGTGCTTGTAGATAACGAGGCCAGTTGGCCAGCGCTGCCGGTACTGACAGACCGAGTGTGCACGGCTGCACACACAGCAGCGGCGGCAGCTGTAGAAGACACAGACGCCGTCGCCGCTGCCAGCCCCGCAGCCGCTGCCGCGAGGCCCGCCATAGCAGCCTCCCCCCGGCCATGGGCTAGCCCAGGCGCGTGGTTGCCGCCGCCATGGCCCGCTTGGCTGGCTGAAAGGCGCGGCGGAGGCAGCTGCACCGGCGCCGGTGCAGCTGCCGCATCAGGGCTGCCAAGTGTCGTCGTGGAGACGACGTGCGACGAACTGGCAAAGCTCACCTCAGATAGCCGCGCGGCAAAGCTCTGCCCGCGTATGGGGCTGCTGAGGGGCCATCCGGACTCGTCGTCGCGGGAGGAGTCCAGCCTTAGGGTACTTGTGGGGCGAATTGTGGCCCGCGGGGTGTCGCCCTGCTGACATGTCAGAAGGGTCAGGGGGGAAAGGAACCCAGGGCTGCCTGTCTGGCCAGCCGCGCCGTTGCTGCTGCCGTCATGCGATGGCGTCCCCGGATGTGTGTGCAGCACCGCCGAAGCAGCCGCCGCCAGTGCGTTGGTAGTCCCGTTAGGGGCACCTGCTAGACTCATCGTCTTCGACGGTGTGCGGCCAGACGACAACAGCCGCTCACGCGCTTCCAGGGTTTCCAGCCGCTTTTGGGTCAGCCTGAGTGAAAGGTGGAGCAACAACAGCCGTGTCAGTGATAGCAGCAGTGAAGTGGGCTTACATCGCGACACCCGGCCCGGGGCAGACCGAGATTCCCTTCAAACCTGGCAATCCCGGCAATCGAAAGGAGCCACTGGTTTGAGCCCAATACACGAGGAAAACGCTATGGAAAGGAATACCTCCATACAGCAAGCGATGCCTGTTGCATTCCCATCCCACACTTCCCGAACTCGCCTTCTGGCCTTTTCAGCATCCGCCGCCTCACGCTGCCGCCTCCTTGCTTCGCGTTCTTCCTTTTCTTTCCGTTCCTGCGGCAGGTAACCAGGGGCGGCAGATAATCGGAAGCGCCAGATAGCGGAAGGGGGCCGGGCTGGAATGTGCATGCATACCATGCCATGCGGAGTTGGCCAGTGGATGCGTGGCCGTCCATGAGGCGCACGGCATACCATTGATGCCTTTGGTGACTTTGGACACGCCCGGATGTGGGACGTCATACTCTACTCTACTGGGCATGGGCAAGAAGCCCTTCCGCCAACCTCGACCTGGACGATGAAGCGAAAGGGTCACAATCCCCAATGATGAAGTCGGCTTCACATCCTTGGCCTCATGGAGCCATAACATGGAGCTAGTCCCATCCCCCAACCACTCCCCGAGTTGGCGCTCAGTCCCCTGTTCCCCTCCCAGCGGCCGTCTCACCGCCAGCAGGGCCTTCTGGGTGGCACTGAACTTGTCCACGAATGCCGCAATTCCCGCCCAGAACTCCGTGTCGCTCGGCGTCGAGTTGAGGTTCTCTCCAAAGTACTTGAGCATGGCCTCGTACTGCTCCTTCATGCTGCATTGTCAGCGGAGCATACCGTGGCACGTGGCGTGCGGTGGCGCAAGTGCTGAGGTGTTGTAGGATTTACGCAGCAGAAACGGCCTGGAAGGCGTGCGAAACCAGGGACTCCTGCGCGCCTGCCTTACCGGAAATGCCTACCCCGCAGTTCTCTCCCCCGGTAAAGCTACGAACTGGGGCGCTATCCCAAAGGGTACGGCTGTAGGGAAAATCAGCCAGACCAGGATTGCATGGGGGACATAAGCTAAAGGGATTGCTCAAGGGATGTGCCATCCCTTCTAAACCCCGTAGTAATCCCACTCCCCTCACCAGGTTTGCATGCCGCGCACTTCTGAGTACTGCGCCTCCATGGCCTCCAACTCAGCCGCCATCGTTGTGGCAAAGGTGTCCTCCACACCTGCACAGGTAACAGCTCCTGTCATGGCGAGATCGGCTGCTTCCCATCCTGCCCGATCAACCATCACAGCAGGGTTTTCGCACAACAGCCGCCGCTTGCATAAACTAAAAAATAAGCATAACAATTCAGTAAAAGAAATTAATGGAGTGCTTCCCGCTTGCTATACACACCATAACAAAATCAACGGTCCCGTAATCGACAACACCACAACCATAACCACAACCACAGACCAAGATGTAGTGAGCTAGCCCTGGCCCACCGGAACACTTTCCTGCACGGCTCCAGACACTCCTAGACGGCAACAACACTACGCCCCATCATGCTACAGGTGGATACCTGTGCTGCTGTTCCCTCAAGGTTGGGACCCTTTTCCCCCTCTCTGACAACGACATGCAGGCAACATGCGACATCTGATTTTTTTACTGTATTGACCCGTAACCCACACCCTAGGGTGGAAGGCTCAAAACAGGGCCGTGAGTCCTCTCCACATTCCTTCCCATCCTTAAGGCTGTCCCAGTCGGAGGCTCGCACCTCACCTGCGTCCGTGATGGGCGTGTAGGTCTTCAGGAAGCCCCGGATCTCGTCCAGCTGCTGCTCCGCAATGGCCAGCATTTCACCCGCCTCCGCGTGGCTCACCTGGCAGTGGCAGCGGGTAGCACAAGCGCCAGGAGGCAGGGAGCGAGGAAAGGGAAGGGCGACAAGCTAAGGTCAGGAGAAAAAACGGAAACCTTCATTGGGAAAACTCAGCTGAACCTAGACAACGTCTGAGAAAGGAGGCACATCGTAATAAGGGGGGGGGTAAACAATGGAATCTTCGTGAGACAAATATCTGCTGGAGATAGGCACCGTGTTTAAGTAATGCAGGGACGCAGTGCCAAGCTGGCTGACTTAGGGGAAGTCAGGCAGAAGTCCGCGCCCCAACTAGGGGTGCAAAACCCCAGCTAGAAACCTGAATTGGAAGTCGGTTCCGGAGCTCCCGTCCATGTGTGTTGCCGGTGCAATACACCGGCCCATGCGAGTGGCCAACTGACTTGCGGATGTCGCCAACCTCCCGAGCTCCCTGCGCCTGAGTGTCGGTGGCCTCCTTTCCTAGCGTCTCCTAAACCCAGCATCCAACGAACCCCCCCAGCCGGACCCCGCCCGTGCTCGCCGTCTCACCTTGAGCATGCTGTCCGATAGCGTCCCCATCTCGTCCGCCAGCACGCTCTCCCCGGTGCTGCGGCCGCCTACTCGCATCACCTCAAGAGCAAGAGCACTCAGCAGAGTGTGCTTTGCGTCCGCCGACCTGTGCTCAGGCAGTGTGTGAGTGGCGGGTCAAGAGGGCGGCAAAGCGGAGGGGGTGGGGAGGAGTGATCCGGTGTGAGGTGTGTCCGGCTGAGTGCAACCCTGCCTAGCTTGACTGCTGCGCCTAACCCGTTCTTCACCCTGAATCCCTCATTTCACACAACGCTCTCACCACACCCCTGCCCCGGCCCCACGCACTTGGTATCCTGCAGTTTGGGCAGCGCGCGCAGCCGGAAACCAATGGCGTTCCCCAGCCGTGTACCGAAGTTCATAAAGTTGCCCGCGTCCCTGGCCAGTCTCAGAGCCCTGTGGAACATGGGGCTGGTGCGCATGGCCTCAATGGCCCGCAGGTTGGCGGCGAACACCTGCAGGGCAGGGGGTTCACGTGGGTAGGTGGGACGGGACAAAAGGAGTTAAGGGAAGAAAGACACAGTTGACCAAGATATGGCCTAAAAGACCTACAAGGGCCCCCTGGCTGCTGCATTAAGAGAGATAGGAGACAGGAAAAAGGAACAGGAAATGTCCATGCACAGGCATAAGAATGGCAACCAACCGGCGGTGGTGTCCTGCTGCTGCCGTGCTTTGTGGTATGTGCACAGGAAGAGTCACTGGCCCACCTCTGCCGCCGCTGTAAGGCGCGAAGGCCGTTATTGGCCTTTCCTATGCAGTGCTTTCCCTACCACATGTCGTTGCCCACCCGCCATGCAGTCCAGCCTCCAACACACGTCTGCACTACCCAGGCGCCAGGGCGCCAAGCCGCATAGCCATCACAACACCACATCGTTCTCCATGCAACCGCGGGCCCTGGTAGTCAAAAATACCCACACAGCTCCTGGTGCCCGTCGCCCCACTCGCCTGCTTAGCGCTCTTAAGCTTATGTGGCGTCTGGAACTTGTAGCTGTACACCCTGAGCCGCTGCTCCACTGCGGGCACACTCATGAGCTGCAGGCACACCTTCTCCGCCTCACCCAGGTCCTCAAGCGGCTTACCTGTCGGGGGTAGGGGGAAGGGAGTGGGAATCATGTGCAGAAGTTGATGATCAACTGCCGACCTCCAAAGTCCCGAGGGGGTGAGGGAACAAGGCAAGCGCAAAGGAGGGGGAAATGGAATAAAAGTGGATGTCTATGTCCTCCCGGGAGCGCCGCACTCACCGCTGTCCCGGTATGCCGCCAGTGCCGCTGCATCGTCCTGTGAGGGTACACACTGCAGCAGTGCCCCCACCGCCTCCTCGCTGTCGAAGGCCCGCGGGTCCAACTGGACCACACGCGCGCGGAGAGCATCCACCTGGGACCACCAGACGGGGGATGGGGGAACACATGCAAGAAGCAAGCGATTAACTGCCTGGGGGAGGAAGGACGGGGCCCTACAGATCAAGGACGCCATGGGGAGTATGATCAACAGTCGGACGGCACGTCGCCTCCGATACGAGATTCCATATAACCCAATGGGGACCGGGACCACCAGACGGGCGGGGTGGGAAGCACCACTCCTTAGCCCCCACCCACCCACCCACCCACCCACCCACCGGAATCTTGATCTTTGATCCCATGAGGATGCCGATGTTGTAAGCCCGCTTGGAGTCAATGACGCTCTGCTGCTGCTTGCTGTTGTTGGAGGTCTTGGCGGGGGTGGCGCGAGCCTTGATCACCTGGTGCCGGGAAGAGGTGTGTGTGCACACCGGCACACAACAACAGACATCAGGGAGATGTTCCACCCTGCAGGCAACGCGCCCATGCCCACCGACTGGGCAGTGGAGTCCGTGTTCGGATCACGTCGGGGTCCACTGATCCTTCGCTTAGCCCCATCCACCCCACCCGCCTGCGACTCTACATTTATACATCCCCCTCTATATCCAACTCAACTCAATTCCTAAACCCTTCCCACCTGAGCAAACATCTCCTCCATCAGGGACCAGTCCAACGAGGGAGGTCCCTCACCGCCCTCCTCCTCGCCCTCGCCCTCGGGCACCTCTCCCGCCTGTTGGGAGCCGGTGGCGGCAGCAGCATCACTCGGCCCCTTGCACTCCTCATCAAGGTCCTGCTCCACCCAGAACGTGCCATGCAAGCGTGCGTAAGGAATAGTGTCCCAGAACAGCTGCTTCATCTTCTTAGACGGCTGAGGAACCGGCTTAGCAGTATACCGCTGCGGTGTCGCCATAGGCGGAGGTGGCACGGACGCCGGCCTTGCGAAAATGCCCGGGGGCGGCGGCGGCGGCGGTGTTGCCGCCGCTGGTGGCGGCGGCGGCGGTGGGGTCGATGAGTCGGCCGGTGACAACCCGGGAATGACGACCTGTGGCGGTGGCGAGCCGGGCAGCGGTGTCCGCGGCAGCGGAGCCAGAGGGTGCTGCTGCTGCGGCTTAAAAGACGCCGAGTGCTGCAGCGGCTTCACCACTGACGCCGCGGGTTCTGGTTCGGGCGGTGGCGGCGGTGGCGGCAGCGGCGCGACAATCTGCATGATGGTGTCCTTGATGGCCATGACTTCCTTGTCCAGAAAGGTGTTATCCATCCCCGTGAGGTCGGCAAAGAGGCTCAGCAGGCGCCGTGACATGAGCGCGTCCACGAAGCGCTGCATCAGTGGTCCATTGGCCTCCGCCTGCGGCGGCATCACGTGACGTGACGTGCGGAGAGCAGTGCAACTTTGCGGGTTATGGATTACGTACTGGAGGGATGCGGGACGGAGGGAGCCCAGTGCAGCTGTGCGCAGAAGGTAATCATCGCTACTCGCGTGTTTCCGTCTTCTCACTAAACCAGTTGCCTGGAGATGTCGCTGGGTTGGTAAAGGTGGCCCTGTGCGGGAATCGTGTGCGATAAGGGAGGACGCACAGAGCCAGGTAGCTACCGGCGGCCCTTATGATTGGAATACTGCTTGTCATGTGCTGACTATTACATGTTTTTACTGCATTGCCGCTCCTTGTATGTGTCTTTTCCAGCCGCTCCTCCCCCATTAGCAGCCGGTGCTACGATGAGGCCGACCGGACTGCAGCTCAGCTGTTGGACTGCATGCACCCTCCTCTAGAGTAGTTCGCTGCAGCTTTCGCTGACGGTGATGTGACCCCCCCCACATACAACACGAAACACGTTCAACACGTGTACAACAGGGGGAAATGCTGCTGCCGCTGCTAATGGCCCAGGTGAGGAGGATAGCGCCGAGGAATGCCGCGCAGGCTTCCCCTTTAATCCCCCTCTTGGAGGCCCCTTAGCCGGCCTGCTTACCTCGGGGCTGACCAGCACCACGCTAATGAATTTGACCACATGCAGCACCAGGTCCTGGTCGAACTTGTCATTCTCCATATCCAGCAGGTCAAGAAGCGCTGACACGTATTCCTCAGCCACCTCCGCAGCAAGGTGCTGATCGCCGTCACTACGCGCACCTGCAACCCCCAAGGCCATAGCTCCACCGTCGGCACAGGTGCTGCCAGGCCCGCCCGGCTGCATACTTAGCCCTGACACCGCCGCTGGCCCAACACCTGCTGAGCACACCGGCGCTCCGCCGCTGCTTTGACGTGCACTGGTGGAGCCCTCGGTCGCCGATGCTCCTGAAGTTTGGCTCCGAGGATCTGGGTTCACTGGTTGTGAGGACGGCGCAGGCGGCTCGGACGCACGTGCAACGCCGGCGAGAGCAAGGGGAGGCGGCGCCCCGAGGGGCACTGGGGCCGCGGCCCTGTTCACCACAGCCACCGGCGGCGGTGGTGGCGGCCCTGGTGGTGGCGGCGCACTCGGCGAAGCTCGATTCGCCACGGCAACCGTTATGGGTGGCGGCGGCGGCGGCCCTGGCGGTGGCGGCGCACTCGGCGAAGCTCGATTCGCCACGGCAACCGTTATGGGTGGCGGCGGCGGCGGCCCTGGCGGTGGCGGCGCACTCGGCGAAGCTCGATTCGCCACGACAACCGTTATGGGAGGCGGCGGCGGCGGCCCTGGCGGTGGCGGTGCACTCGGCGAAGCTCGATTCGTCACGACGACCGTTATGGGAGGCGGCGGCGGCGGCCCTGGCGGCGGCGGCGGAGTAGCCTACGGACACCATGATCGAACAAAACTGTCTGTAGAAAACGTGTCCTGTTTCCACCCAATAAATTTGAAAGGATTGATCTTGACCTGAGCCATCCCGCCCTCACATGACGGACACTCCTGGCCTATAACCGTATTTGTCGCCACAAATACGGGCCTTAGGGTTGAACACCGGTAATCCGTTCTGATCCCCTGCTCCCCAACCCAGGTGATTCAATCCTAACAAGGCCCACCTAGGACTACAGGCAGCACGTGGGTGTGCTACAACCGGGATGGAAGATGCAGCGCGACGCACCTGGGCTGCTGTCCTAGTGGAGAAGCCAGACCGTGAGGCAATGCCGGCGGAACCAAGCAGCGGCGTCCCCTCAGACTCATCATCCTCGTCTCCTGTCCTGTGGGGTGTGCTGAATGAAAATGGCCCTTGATCGTTGCCGTCGTTTGGCGATGATACATAGCTGGTCGGCGACTTGGGGATGACCACTATTGGCCGCGGTGGAGGGCCGGGCGGTGGTGGCGGTGGTGGCGGCGGCGGTGAGAGGGGTGCCGGAGGTGGTGGCGGCATACCCGCATCCACCCATCGGAACAGTGGAACATGTTGCGTCCCAGGCGTGTTCGCTACCAGAGCTCGGGTCCACTCGTCTGGAAGCCGGGTGCCGTAATCCCAAGTGGTTTCCTCGACGCCGTCACTACTGTGAAAGTTAGGGGTGCTCTCGTTCACCTTAACAGTTGCGCCTGGGAGGTATGTCCAGCCGCCGGACATTTGCAAACAGGGCGGCGGTGGCGGCGGTGGTGGTGGCGGCGCCGGGGGAGGCGGCGGTGGAGGCGGTCTCACAACAGCCGGCGGTGGTGGTGGCGGCCCAGGAGGTGGCGGCGGGGCCGGGGCACCTCTGGGTGTAACCACAACGGGTGGCGGCGGCGGAGGACCTGGTGGCGGCGGCGGCGGTGGTGTTGCCGCTGCCCTGGCTACTCCGGTGACTGGCGGCGGCGGTGGAGGGCCCGGCGGCGGCGGCGGTGGTGTTGCCGCCGCCCTGGCTACTCCGGTGACTGGCGGCGGCGGTGGAGGGCCCGGCGGCGGCGGCGGTGGTGTTGCCGCCGCCCTGGCTACTCCGCTGACTGGCGGCGGCGGTGGAGGGCCCGGCGGCGGCGGCGCAGGCAATCCCCGGCCTCCACCGGTGACCGGCGGCGGCGGAGGACCGGGCGGCGGGGGTGGAGGCGGCGTTCCTCTCGCCGATCCAGCCGCCAGCGGGGCCGGTGGCGGCCCTGGCGGCTGGGGCGGCGCCGCTGGTGTTGCGCGTCGCCCGGTGTCCGCTCCTAGCGGCGATGGCGGCGGGCCCGGGGGGAGCGGCGGCCCGGCACCGCCACGTGTGGCGTCCCAACCGCCGCTGGTAGGCTGTTGAGCCCAACCACGTGTGGGAGAGCTAGGGCCCGCTGCCGCGACCGGTGCTCCCTGCAAGACTCCTGTGGCGAGTTGCGGTTGAGGTTGCTGCCCGCTGCTGCCCTGCGAGGCATCCACTGAAGCTCCCGCCGTGGACGAGGACGCGAGTGAGGTGTTTCGCCCTATCTGCAGACCCTCCGGCAACCCCAGGAGCGTCATCAGCACCTGCGGACGGCCGGAGCACGTACCAGACCCCAGATGGCGCCCATCAGGAGACTGAAAAGGGCAAACCTGAACCTAACGGATTGATAGCTCCCGGCGTGCAATAGCCCTGGTGTGAACAACTTACAAAACTTGAAAACACGGCGTGATGAGTTGAGCTAGACGCACCATGCTCGAAGGGTTTCAAACGAGACACAGCAGCACCCAAGCAACCTGTACAACACGCACGCACGCGGCACATTCGCATACCGTTCCTTTCCGTGTCCGTGAGGATATGCACGCTGTCGCCTATGTACACATGGCCGCAGATAAGGTAGCTGGGTTGCGTGAGAGCCGCATTTCCCGAAACCGAACAAGGCACAGTTGCACTACTTTCAGACGTCAGGCTGTGGAAGGGTATCGCTATTTCCCTCACGACCGTCATCGAGCAACAATATTCTCCCGAAGCAACAAGAGACCGTGCCTGGCGATAGCTCTGGTCATGGAACAACAGCATCTTGGTCAGTAGCTCCAGAGCCACCCGGGTGGTGTCCGAGTCCACGGGGCGAAGCAGGGCAGCCACTGCGCGAGTGAAGCCCCGCACCGCCAGCACCGCCGCCATGCCACCGGGTTTGGAGGTAAGCGATTGAACACACTGCAGCGTGACCATGAGGGCCTCGAGGGCCTCGGGAATGCCTTGCCTGCGGGCGTGACGGTGAGTGGTACGAGAGGGAAAATCGCTTACGTGGAAAGCTATCGGGTTTCACAAATGCACAGATTGCAGCGGCAACCAAGGTTTCCTGCGTTCGGCTTGCAAAGCGGTTATGTCGGTTGATTGCCGTACAGTGTACGGGGCCGGTTGGCTTGGTATAGTAGCTGTGTCTTCCGTAGTAGCTCACTTCGCGAGTTTTCTGTCAGATTTGACACCGTCGTGTCACGCTGCTCCAAGCGACGGCGGTCCCTGGTCCGCTTCTCACGGTGGCCAGAACTCTGTCGCCCCCAACCCCCATACAAAGACACCCTTTCCCTTCTTGCAGGTACCTATCCTTCAAGCGGCGCCTCCACCTTAGCGGTGAGGGACACAGTATTAGAAACAGTGTAGATGATTCAGGGTCGTGCAGGTGTCAAAAGTCGATGGCGCCTCTCGTGGTTGGCGATTTATGTTTGAGTGCGTGCATGCGTGCGTGTGCACGGGCAGGTGATGGTGCACGAGTGGAAAGGCATGAAGCTCCCAAGGAGAAAATATCGCTTGCAGATGGTACAGCAGGTGCGGGTTTAGGCACGGCCGCAGCCAAAAAACACTCTCCCCGACACGGACATGACTGCAGATGGTGGTGTTGCGGAAATGGGAATTTTCTGCCGGTTCGTAAAGTCCCCTCTTACGCCCGGCTTCCCGCACCTCGCTGGGCCCTCGTGGCTCCGAAGCACGTCCAGCAGGAGAGTAGCTCCATCCAGCCGACAAAACATGTCCAGCCAGTCCTTGGAGCAGTAGTCCAGGCACTCTTTTAAGGTAGTCAGGCTGATCGCCGTTGGCATGCGACGTACCTGCAAGAGAATGGAAAGGGGAACACAAGAAAACAAGCTGCCCCTCATGCGATTGAGCGCTGTTCCCAAGGACCGGCGATAGAGCCCACGATCCGCGACCTGGGATGCTGTAAGGCCGTATGCAACGGGATGAACTGGCTTTGGCCCCTACCCTGGCCTAACTTGCTAACCATGAACTGAACTAGCTTCTGCCATGCGCAACTCTGATGGGGTGTGGTCAAGCTATATCCCGTTGACCTGGCTTAAACGGAACGGAACGGGCAGGTGTAAGCATCCTCCTAAAGTCTTGCAGAAGTTGATGAGAAAAAGCTCATGTCATACCGGTTCGGCCGCTCTAGCGTTCCCGCATCCCCCAATCCTGGATGCCCCACGAAGCCGACTCCCCATCCGCACCTGCACGATGACGGCCTCAGGCCCTGCAAATGAGGTGTCGCCCTCGTCAGCTGCGGACCAGTCGGGCCGCACACGGGTGACCTGCGGCAGGTCATGGAGGGCGGGCCGGGGTAATGCCAAGCGAGACGTCATCCGGACGGCGGGGAGCTACAATGTTGTTACAAGAACCAGCGGATACCGGCACAAGGCTGGCGTATGCCGATGGCGTGATCGGGGATCTGGTGGACTTAGGGAGCTCCCGCCCCGGTATGCTCACGTACATCACACACCGAAGAATTACAGATTCGTGGACTTTGGGGTGCACAACACCAGTGGCCAATGATGAACGAGCACGCATATGCCACTACTGACATGCGGCGTCAGTAGTGGGTAGGTGTTCAGGCGAAGGCAGCCATGCACTGACCCCGACGGTGGTTACAACAAGTATTTAGAGGTTTGATAGCAATATTGAAAGGCCAAAGCGAGGCAGCAATCGGGTCCACTTCAGGGTTGACTTTGCGACCAGTATCCAATGAGTGCCACGCGTCCAAAGTACCAAGTTATGGAAAGTGGCTACTGCTGGCTTACATTGCAAGACCCCTGCAGAAGTATACAATGCTAACACACCACTACTTGTGAACCCAATCAAGAACCTTCGTAAAGTTAGTGGGGGTTAACCGTACAAAAGCCTGTACGACTCCGTGTAAGGCCGGGCCCAATACTCACAGACGTACCTCCAAGACGTAGAGCGCTTTGCAAGCCATGAGCACGTCCGGAGTCGCAGCCTGACCCTCCACCAGAGATGCCCAGTTCTGAAGGCAGCAAAGGCAGGTGGCTTCGCTAGCAAGATGAGCACATGTCTCTGGGCGGAAACACCTTCACTAAGCCAAGAAGCTGTGACAAACACATGCCCTTCCGGAAAGTGCTCCGGGTGCACACACGCCGTTGCCACCAGCCAGCGGTTCGGTGCAATACATCTGGTGTGAGGGAACCGGGGATCATCGGCATTCCCAGACACGCTTGCATTATAACTTTTGCAAGGTACCACGGCGGCAAGTTCCTTGCCACGCCGTGCGTGCAGTGCACATTATTACAATGCCCATGAGCTGAATGTCCCCACCATAAATTACCCTGGCCACAGCCCAAACCCGCGGGACGCCCAATGCCGCCAGTGATTTCTCCTTATGCCCAAGAGAGCTGATTCCCCTGTCCTTGCCCCGAAAGGAATAAAATTCCCCTGTTTCACTCCAAGCGCGGATGGCCCTCACCTGCAGTGCGCCGCGCTGCCGCTCGCTGAAGTGCTCCGGGTGTTTGTCGACATATGTCCGCGCACGTTCAAACTGCTCACACACCGAGGACGTCACCAGCGACCCGTCAAACTTGCCTGCAGCGCAGGCCCACAAAGAATGTGCAGCATATCGAAAATGAATTGCCAGAAAATCGACCGTCCGAATACCTACTGGTGATGCCATCTGCCTTAGCTGCTTCCCTCCCAATATGCTTGTCCCTGTTGCAAATGCGGATACATGACAAAGGGCAAATGGAAGCAGCCAACCACCACAGCTCGCCCGCACCATCACATGGCGCCTCTGCAACACCGGCAGCTGGCGACAGCCGACGGAGCACAGACCGTGATCCTCCGCTTCAGGTCCTCCGCACGGACCCCGTTACCCTTCACGAACACACCCTTTGCCCTCATAACTCCGTTTGCCAGCATCGCGAATCACAGATTGTGTTTAATACGGACCCGGATTGCGTGTCCCCGTCGCATCACTCCGCCTTTTATAAGGCCACACACCACAACACACCTGATATGAGGTCCAGCTGTCCCAGGTCAGGGCCCAGTGGTGTTACTTCGTACGGCCGGGGGCGTACTGCTGCCAGTGCCTGCTGCTGTTGCTGCTGGCCCCCGGCCCCCGCCGACAGTGCTGGCCTCGCCGTTGTTGTCACGGGAGCGTCCCACCACAGGAACTTCGTAAAGAAGGAGCCCTTCACCGCGGCGGGTGCGGGACCCGATGCCGCGGCCCCTGCATAGCCGCTTGCCTTGCTGGCAGAACTCGGCGCATGCGATGCTGCCGTTAGCAATGCGCTCTGCGAGCTAAACGACGGCAGGAATCCACCTGGCGGTGCAGAATTTGCAGCTGGCGCCAGGCCCGCCAAAGTAGCTGAACGGCCGCGGGTTGAGCCGTCCCCGCCCCGGAAGATGTTTCCCTGGCCGTGGGCTTGGAACCCTGCCGAGCTATCACCGCTGGGCCGCCGTGAGTGTGTCTGCTGCTCCATCTGCTGTTGCAAGCCTGCCATGGAAGTCATGGACCCCGTCACTGACTGCGGAGTCGTATTTCCCGAGGGCATGGCGCGAATAGGGGTGCCAAGCTCACTGGTACTGGCACTGGGGAGCCCATCGCGGTCCCCATCCTCTGCCGTCAGGTCGCCCACGGAAGTCCTCAGGGAGGCTGTGGGGGAGGCTTGCCGACGTGTAGGGGTTCCTGGGGGTGACGAAGCCGTGCTGCGCGGCGCCTGAAATGCATGACCATGACCCCCTTGATGGTGGCGGCGAGCACCGGCCAGAGCGCCGTCGTGGCCATGGCGGAAACTAAAGCCGCCAGAACGGCGCAGCAGGGCGTGATAATGGGCGACCACAGCTGTCAACCATTCTTTACGGTCATCGACTGAGTGGCTTGCAAGGTACCACCTATGGATGGAAACACCATGAAATGTTGGATTGCGAGACGCGGTACCGGAGCAAGGCAAGAGGTGCACTTATAGTGCCAGAAGCCAAGACGCTTGTCCTCTGCCGTGTCTATTCTGGGAAAACGATTGTGACAGGGTTGCATGCCACGGCGGCCTATGGCCGGCGATAAGTCATTGCTAGGGAGGGTCGTCGGTGAAGCGCCGATGGTGCCAAGCATTAGTTGCGCTTGTGGAGCACTCTGGCTCTGCCACTTCATGCAGAGCGCTTGTGACGCAGATGGATTGCCCGTACGGCAATCCCACTTCTCGCCCGGGGAATCCCACATAACGCAAACCCGCAAGCGCACCGTTGCTTGTCCTTGAACTCAATGGTAAACCTGAACCTCCCCTGTTGCTCCAAAATGTCCTGCGTACGTTTGCCATGCTTAGCACCCAGACCAAGGGCTTCTGACTTGAACGATGTTGACGTGTTTTGTGCGACCCCCGCTTGCGAATCCCTCCACACTATCACCGCACGTACCAGTACCCTGCAGCCAACCAGCGGCTTCGACTTGTCTGGGGAAGCATCGGTCTGCAGGTCAAAGTGCCCGGTCAGAACATGACTGTCTAGTGTCAAGGATGGATCTGACACACCTTGAACTGAAAATACAATCCAATCGATGGCTCGCCTCCAGAAAATATTATGAAGTAGTGCTTACGCCATACATAAAAGTTGTCTGCAACGTTGATGTTCCATAAAATTCCATCATGTTATCTTTCGGTCCATATACTTGTTACCTTGCTTCCATAGCTCCCCGGCTTTGACTATGCTTGAAGGAGGCAACGATGATGCCGAGGGCTGCATAACAGGACGCAATCGGCAGCAGCAGGGACCCCTTTCCAAAGTCCATTACTATTATAAGGGTTCAAAAGGCCTTCATCCGCCTATTCCATTTTTTGACATAGCTTCCTTCGCGGGGTGGCTAACCAGAACGCAAATATAATGGGAAAGCTGAACGAGAACATGTCGTATGCAGAAACTTGCTATTTCTTAGTTCGCATAGTGGCGAAGGTAAAAATTCCCATTATGTACTACGACGACCGTTGGGGGAAAACGGTCTGCGCACCCTGACAGCATATAAGCGATTTGAATGCACAATGAAACGTTGCTAGGAGTTCTAGGACATGACGCTCATCTTCTACCTTGTCCAGTGTGCAAAACTCACAAATCCTCTGCGCGCAAAGCTTTCCAGCAGCAAAGGAACGATTCGCTGCCAGGGGCGAACAGCACATGCGGGACTGCATGAAAGGACGGTGCACATCTAATGAGGTAAGCACCCGGATATGCGGAAGCAAGGTAGTCCCAGCCGATTTCCCAAACGGCAAACCCATCCAATACACGTATTTCGCCATCATAACCCCCGGTCGGTTTCCCATCTGGGAAATCCGGTGGAGCCCTGCTCAGCCTCGGGTGAGCCCAGGCAGCCAGAAGCTGTCGCCTAAACTCGGGAAAGACTGGACCCTCTGGAATGGGCCAGCTTGCAAGCCAATCGAGCTTATCGCCGTCAGACACTAAGTGTTTGTTTGCTACAAGCTTCTAGAGCTCGTAGAGCCCAGACGAGCCAGCAGGTTCATGGACCACTCGACTCAGCAAACAGAAGAACAGGAGAAGGAAGGAAAAAATATGTCGTGCTAGTGACTAGGTACCGTAGTGACAGGAAATGTTCGTGATTTTAATTTCGTGACGGCATCACGAAATTATGTCACATATAAATTACAAGCTGTTCCAGGCGACGGTCGTCACGAATATATGTGTGCTCCGAAGCCAAATCGTATAATGTCTTCAACACAGTAATTACTCGTCGAATTCCACTTTTCTGGCCATATATACATCCATAGTAATTGAACGGACATGGATCCGAGGGCCAAGCGGCCTAAGCAACAAAGCCTCCTTCAATGCGGACGCTTCACACTTGCTCGCGGCGCCCAGCTACGGATAGAGCTGGTTTTGCCGCTCCTAAATAACCGTGCATGCATTGGCCAGCTTTTGCGTCAATCGGCGTTCTGAGTCGGACCCATTAACGAATATTGCAGGCACCGTTGCTTCGGTTGCGTTGGCTTCTGACGAATTCAAAAGTTTCCCCAATAATTTCGGGTGTAATTTTGAGGGTGTCTCGAACAATAAAATCACGAACATTTCCTGTCACTACGGTATACAACTAGGCAGATGCATCGTTATGCGTTATGAGGCGCATTCGCAAGCCAACGCTGGTCGCCCAACGCCAAGATAGCTGACATGTTCCCAGTAGGTGTACCATTCGCCTGCTGTAGGTCCTGAGGAATAACGTCGTAGGCAGGACACTCCATAAACACGTTATGCTCGTCCTCAACCGCACCAAAGCGACACACGGGGCAAACCCGATCTGCCCTCACCCTACCAATGGGGCGGTTGTGTCACGCCAAAACATCTGGAGCGCACAAATCATGTGCCACGACCGAGTTAGCCGCTATCCGCAGGTGGCCAAGCCAACCGAAGGTAGTAAGGCGAACCGCGTGTTGATTTATTTGAGACTTTGGGTAGCGTATGAGGCGCTTTCCGTTGTGATTTGAGGATGTTAGGTTGTCGTTCATCTGTCGTTAGTCGGATGAGCGTTACGCATCCAGGGTAGGGCCGGGTGTGATAAGGCCCGGCGTGGATCAGTCGGTACTTCGCCATAAATGCGAGTGCGAAGAGGCCAAACATTTGTCGTTTGGCTCTCGAAGCAACTCTTCGTGAGCGTATAGACTATTATATTATTGAAGATAATATAATCATAGGAGGGTTGATAGGACTGTTTTGGTGTAACAAGACTGCAATCCTACCCTACCTCGACACGCGCATCAGAGCAGGATAGACAGAGAGTGTACACACAGCATTCCATAAGGTCCGCCCTTAGTGCTCATACCTCTAGGCTCGACAGGGATCCGTTCCCAGCCCGTCCTCGCCTACTGCGATCGCGCAAATCAAGTTAACGAAGCTGGAGTGAGCCAGCCAAGTCAAGCCGGAGCTTTAAGGAGAGCTCCTATTGTATAATCATCTCATTTACCCACAGCCAAACGACGGAGAAGGTCGGCGAGTCGTCCTGAAGTAGGCGGCCGTAAGAAGTAAGGAATCGGGCGCCAGTACCCCGAGTTTATTGTGCAGCTATTGTTGAAAGCGATCCGTCGCTGTATATTCTTCAAGTGCTATCACTCATCTATTGAGCTAGGCTTTTTCGCGTCCGCGCACCAAGCCAACACAGCTCCTCAGCCTTCCGAGGCATATCGAATACACTGAACTGTTTACTGAGAATCCTCACGCAGTCAGTTCAAGTCAACGAAATTGTTTATTCTTTTGCTACCCGTCCCTCTGTGGAGAGCCATTCACCTCACGCGTACGCCTGGTCTTCATTCAGCTTCCGAGGTGTTAATCGTTAAGCAGCCCCTCGCACAAATGTGTCCGGTCGTACTTCGCGAATAAAGCCTAAGTACACTCGTCCCAAAAAAGCCAGGAGCGAATTTTGCCGCGCAGATGCGCGCGTGCTATTCTCAAAATGCGCCTGTACAAGTGTATATAAACTTTTTTGGCGGATGAGGACCAGGTGCGCCAGCGCGTTGCGCAGGTGGGCATGTTGGCCATAGCCGCACGCTGGACTATTGCGTGGATGCTTTGCAGTAAATAAAAGCACCGAAAGCCAACGTCGTAGCTTGCAACTCTGGGCTCGTGAAACTGCCGCGGAAGATGAAGCGCTGGCGAAGAGGCAGTTGTATGCAGCACCTTATTCAGAGTAAAGTCAAATTACAAAGTTGCGCAAAGTATAACATACATAAACTTAATTAAACATAAGAACAGATAAGACGTTTAGAGCGTTGTCGGTGACATGGACGCCGCTGTTGGCTTGGAACAGCTATTTGCTGTGCATAGGGACGTGCCCGCGTTAGCCGTGTTGCAACACCTCAGGATGGATTTCAGCCAGCAACAGCCTCAATAGCTGCTGCACAACCACCGGGAATGTCTTCAGTTGGGCACGTGTAGCTTTGGTCGGCGGGGTCGAGCAACATACGCAATGCGCACAGAAACCAAGGTGCAGCGTTCTGTAACATCGCCAACATATCCGGTACGCGGTGGCAGGCTTGCCGAGCACGAAATGAAGGGGGGGTCGCATCTCACCATTCAACTAAGCATGCATGTGATCGGTTGAATGCTCGGTAGCGTGCGAGTTTACCCCTATCAGGATGTTTGTTTGCATATCCCTCCAAGCGAGAGGGCTTGCACCTATGCTGATGTTCGTTCCAAGAAGTGAACTGAGGACTGATGCTACGGTGAAAGATTTGCACGTAAATTCGCCCGTGCAATAAAACGCCCTGTAACTCGCTTACGCTAATCTCACATTCCAATATGCCACTGCACTTTCCTCTCCAGCCTGGCCACATTCTCTTCCTCGCAAACGTACTTGGGCGCCTTACAATCAAACAACATACGTGCTTTGGAAACGCGGGCAGCTGCTTCACAAGGACCCCCCTATTTAAGCAGCCCCTCGCACAAATGTGTCCGGTCGTACTTCGCGAATAAAACATCCGTACATCGTCCCAAAAAAGCCAGGAGCGAATTTTGCCGCGCAGATGCGCGCGTGCGATTCACAAAATGCGCCTGTACAAGTGTATATAAATTTCTTGAAGGTGCGCCAGCGCATTGCGCAGGTGGTCTTGTTGGCCATAGTCGCACCCGGCATGCAGGCTGGACTATTGCGTGGCTGCTTTGCAGTATCTGAAAGCACCGAAAGCCTACGTCGTAGCTTGCAACACTGGGCTCGTGAAACTGCCGCGGAAGATGAAGCGGTCGGCGAAGAATCAGCCATAAGGCGCCTGCTTTCGGTAGCGCAGCGCATAATGCACATTGTTCCCACTAAACTCAAGTTACACTCTTACGAAATAAATAATAACAACGCAGAATTAGGTAAAGAGAAGAATCGCGAAAGTCGTTCAGAACCTTGCAAGTAAAATGGATGCCGCTGAGGGCTTGGAACAGCTTTTCGCAGCGCATTCGGCCGTGCCTGCGTTAGCCGTGTTGCAGCAACTACGGAAGGACTTGAGCCAGCAGCAAGCTCAAATTCTGTTTAAGAACCACCGGCATTGTCTTCAGATGGGAACATGTAGTTTTGGTCGGCGCGGGCGAGCAGCGTACGCATTGCGCACAGGTACCGAGGTGCAGCGTCTCAGGATGGATTTCAGCCAACAAAGCCTCAAGAGCTGCTGCACAACCACCGGTGTGTCTTCAGTTGGGCACGTGTAGTTTTGGTCGGCGGGGTCGAGCATCGTATGCATTGCGCACAGAAACCAAGGTGCAGCGTCTCTGTAACATCGCCAACATATCCGGTACGCGGTGGCAGGCTTGCCGAGCACGAAATGAAGGGGGGTCGCATCTCACCATTCAACTAAGCATGCATGTGCTCGGTTGAATGCTCGGTAGCATGCGAGTTTACCTATCAGGATGTTTTGTTGCATATATCCCTCCAAGCGAGAGGGCTTGGACCTATGCTGATGTTCGTTACAAGAAGTGAACTGAGGACTGATGCTACACGTCATGTATACGCGTTGCTTAGCTTGCAACGAGACGCACCCACGATGAAAGCTTCAGCTACACTCACAATACATTATACTGCTACACTATTCTCTCCAGTCCTACCACATTATATTTCACCGACGTACTTCCGCACCTTCCACATCACCATAAGTGCTTTGGAAACGCGGGCAGCTGCTTCACAAGGGCCCCCATCTTTTGGCTTCCGAGGTGTTAATCGGCCTCAGGGTACTTCTTCGCCTGGTTCCGACCAGCGTGAGGAGCGCAGGCGCGTCAACCCTTCGGCGGCAGCCATCCGTGGCATCCGTGCTGTACTTGTCGCGTTTTTATTTTATATTTCTTTGCCGCAAGGCTGCTATTATAAACCAGCTTGTGAGCTTTTGGCGTGGTTGATCTGGCTAGCAGTGAGTCAGGATTCGTAGCCGAAGCACCCCTTTCAGTGCGGAGCTTCCGAGCTCCTGGGTGTTGTCTGGCATTCCACGCGCCCATCGGGCACATTTGTGTGATTATATTAAGTGTGGAACCAGCTAGTGGTGGCTCTATTGGTGCATCTGTGTGCCGAGCCCTAGCTGTTGGAGAACTATTAATCTTTGCCGTACTCAGCCACCACGCGCTCCGGCGTTGGTGTGTGTCCCAGGACTATCCCAGGACTATTGTACGTGCACACAGGCTCCGGCCATACAGACTCATCAGTGAGATAGTGTCCCCGGACATCACTGAACACTGCGCTCTCACTAGAGCCTTGTAAGAGTCTCATTATCTTTTGAGCGCTGGCAGACTCTCTATGTCGTGTCAATCCCCACCGCTCAGCTCG